ATTGTTTTCATCACAAAGATATTTGGGAAGGCACCAAGTCAAGTTGATGTCACAACCATGCAAAAAGATCTGCTGGAGCTGTGCAAATGGTTGCATGACAAGCATAGGCTTTGTATCATTATATAATGTAAGACTCTGCATGTAGGGTACAACAACCATAATCACAACTACCCAGCTCCTCCCCGACTTACGACCTACTCGACTTACGACCACCCGCACTTACGACCTGCCTCAGTCGTACCAAAATTTGGTCAAATTACATATTTTCGAGTCCCAAAGTCAGTACACAGACAAAATTTTCGTTTGTAATTGACTTTAAAATGGCTGGCAAGCTTAAAACTGAGTGTTTTGTGGTGCTGAGAGGAAAAAGAGAGACCCATTTTAGATTTTCTATGCATTATTTAAGCATTTCCGACTTATGACCATTTCGACTTACGACCTGGATTTGGGTCCCTAACCCCGTCATAAGTCGGGGAGGAGTTGGATATTCTGTTAATAACACTTTCATGGACACTGTTTATATGGAAAAGATCTAGGCATTGTGATAAACCAATCACTGAAGGCAGCACAACAAGTGGGGGCAGCAACGAAAAAAGCTAACCAAGATTTAAGAATTATAAGTCATACCTTCAAATACAAAGCTAAGAAAAGGCTCCTTCAACCTTATAAGTATCACATAGGTCCCCATCTGAATTACTGTATTAAGGCACAATCTCTACCTCCAGAAAGGCTTAACATTCATATAAATGGTGCAACACAGAGCGACTAATATGGTTCCTGAACTACATCATCTCGATTATCCACGTAGACTGAGTACTCTTCACACAAGATACAAAATGGTGAATATCATAGGGACATTCAAAATCATGAAAGGGATGGAAAATGTTAACCTGGGCCATTTTTTGTGATGTTATGCACCACCAACACGAGGGGACATTGCTATAAGTTCACCAAGTTATCGTGCAGGACAAATATAAGGAAATACTTCACACAGAGGCTGGTAGACTTATGGGACAGTCTACCAGCTCAAGCTGTGGAATCGAGAGAACAGAACTGGGTTTCAAAACAGCCCTATACAGTGTACAAGAATAGGAAGAACGATGGAGGGATCCTACACAGGCCACTGGCCTTCTTCCCTCTGTATGGCCACCTGTAGTGGGTGGACATTAGACAAATAAGCTAAAAATAAGTTATGATGAAGATAAGAATAGGTTATTGACTGCACTAAAACTTGAAAGGCAACTTTGAACCACCACAACCACAAATTTGGAAGCACAATGTACATGGACAAAGATTCCAAAGGGAATGTGAATAAAATAAATAAAATTACAACGAGCTATTCACAAAAAATCTAAATTGTTTTCAGAGGCGCCATATACAGCATTCAAATAGGATTTGTTTTGTGAAGAGGCTTCTGTTGTTTTCTGAACAACATGTAAATCATGACCTGTAAAACTATTTCAGTGTCATAATGCACTAGAGCCAGGCCAGTTAATCCTCTCGTGGCCTTTCTACACATATTGTATTACAGTACTAAGCGCCCGTGTTGGCGTGACCCCTCCGGCTCAGCATTATCTCACACTGAGAACATCCATCCTGTAAGCAGAAATGCAGAAACAGTGGACAGGTCCCATCAACCACTAAGTTCCTCCCACTAGCCTTATGGGCTGGCAGATGTATCTCTAAAGGTGCAATTTAGGTCTGGATCACTCTACCCATGTTTACAAAAACGGAAAAATCATTCCTGTTACCGACACAACCTGTGTTGAAAGACTGCAAAGGGTTGAGATTTCTGACCATGAGTACCAGAGGGTTTACCTTTCCACTGTCATCCTGTTTCTCAGGCAGCTCTAAATGTGCCTTAGTCTAGAGAGAGAGAGCATTCAGCTTCAGAAGAACCTACTGGACACACACAACCAATACACAGTAGCTCATACAGATTTAAAAATACTTGACATCTGTCACAATATATGAGAGATTCAATGAAATTAGATGGTGACATTTCTTGGTATTCAGAGTTTTCCAGCACCTTAACTCAAAAGGGAGATATAAGATGAATTAAAGTAAATTTTCCAAAATAGCAACTTTTTTACAAACAATGCCAAGGTTATTTTTCCTTATTTATTTTTATCATTTTACCACTTATTAGATTACTAGCCATTTGGAATGATTTGGAAGAGGGCAGCACATGTCCTTGACTCTGTATTAAAGTGGGTTTCCATCTCATTTAAAAGGTAACCAAGGAATGGAATGGCTAGATTTTTATTGTAGTTGCAATTTACTTGATGCCTACTGTACTTATGCATGACTTTAATACCATTTCACCAACACTCTCAACAACATTAAGGTAAGTTGTTCAACACAAATTAACACACTAATGCAAAGACCCTAATCGAACCTGACCTAACAAACCCATAGATTGGGTATGTTAGGACAGGCTCTAATAGGTTCCAAGCATTGTCGTTTCCATTTTTGTGTTTAATATCATATTAGTGTGTAGAAAAAAAATCAACCAATTCGGACAATTCCTTCTGGTGGTCACCCTTTTCTACACCTTTACAAAAAATTAATCCTATTGATAATGGTAAAAAATTTGGGTAATTATATAGGACTAACCCACGACCGAAATTGATTAAAAACAATTATAAAAACGCCGGATTTTCATTGTTATATTATAGTGGACACTGTTATAGTTTGTGGAAATATGTTAAATATTTTATATTTTTAAAATAAACGCTACTTAACATTAATGGGTATGAGGAACAGACCTGACCAAACAAACCTACCTAACCTTACTTAACTTCCCCGATATATTAAACCGAAACTTGCTATGATATGGTGAAATTTGAGGCATTTACTGGACGTGAGATGATACGGCCGCATCGGTGCTATGCAGTCCCAAAAATTAACCCAAACCTGAAATCCTTATTGGGATAAAAACAGTTTTCTTTGTCATTTCACCAAATCGTCGACGGCAACGAATTATTTCTTACTACAAACACCAATATAAACTACACTAATACCAAGGCAGCATAATATATAAAATGACGGAGTTTATCTTTGCAATTACCTTTTCATTTAACATCTTCACCTAAATTTCAATTTGATGACGGAATAAAACTCTCAGTAACTACTGTACGTGTTGGGTTGGCAAACTACCATGGCCGTGGTTAACCAACTCCCTAACATCACATGTAAATCAATTATGAAAATAAAAATACCAACAATTTACTCACCACACAGGACAATAGCACCATAAGCTTGTAATTAAATAACTTAATATAAAAATACTTAAAACTTAATCACCACATAGCAGCCAGTCACGACACGTCCTTCCTTCACGGCTCACTCAGGCAAATGACTTGCTAGTGACGTCACAATGGTGTGTTATATCAAGGAAGGAATATATAGAGAAACCTGTACTATATTCAATTAACGTTCAGCCCCTGACTGGTGCGCCATCTCTTGATTTAAATTTACCATAAATATTGAAGGTCATCATAGAAAACGTGTTGTTGTTTAGAGAACGAGCTTGTCTTTAGCGAAGACTCCTGTCATAAGCTATATACATTTTAATCTTAGCAACCATTGCACAAATGTAGATGATTGTCTGCTTATACATCTATATATTTATTTATTCACAAACACTGATGTTCCTTAAATAAAATAAGAGGCAATACCGTGTTGTACATAACATGAAATAACTTAAATAAGGGACTTCGGTGGTAGATAATTATAAATTAAGAAAACATTAAAAGCAAGCGGGCAGGTAGACTAATCTTCATGATATCCACAAAAAGTAGAAAGCAGTACTAAAAAGACTAAGTTTCAGCTTTCAGTCTTGAAAATATATATAAGTCAGGGTGGATAAGGCGGAAATACATTACATGTTTGAATGTTCTGATAAGAATCACACACACACACACTATAATTTCTTTAAATTTAAGATAGCATACAGCTTGCTAACACTTCCTACTACGATTGAGGAGATAAACTTTAAACTTTGTGATAGTTGACAACTGCAATCAAGCTGGGTGAAAAAGTTATGTGAAACCCCGAGAGAAATACATATTCTGTTTGGTTTGTGTTGTATATAAAGGGAGATACTGTATATACATCCCATTTAGATTGTTGGGAAAGAAACATACACAGTACAGCCCCAAGCAATAATACATTAGCATCTCAACTTGAAAGACAATGTAATCTAAATCTACAACCCAGAATGCAGCCACTGTACCACATAGGTATAAGTGCAGGGAACTGTACATCAGTGATAAAATCAATTAAATTCCTACCTGGATGTGGTACACTTTTCGTATTTTGGTTCAGCTTACCTGGGCTTTCATGTAATGTACTGTACTAATCAATCCTACTGTACTTATCTCAATAGTGTCCTGTAATGTATTCTTTTCCTACATCTTTTCTAAGTACTGCAGGTGGATAAACCTTAAGAGAATAGAACAATCTTCACTGAAACAAGACACAACGCAGAATGTATGCAATTTACCATTTTATTTCTGCTCACGAAGATAATTTGGTGCACAAACGTTAAGGTTCTGGCCGGTCAGTCCCTCGTAACGATCTTCAAGAGTGAAGTGCTTCCCCATCTGGAGTACTGTCACCCCGTCTGGTCCCCGAGATATGCTAGGGACTGTCAATTGGTTGAAAATGTTCAAAGGAGGGCCACCAGACTGGTGCCACTGTGCCAGCATTTCCGGCACCTCAACTACCCTGAGAGATTGGAGCGCCTTTACTTGCCTAGCTTATACTACAGACGGGCAAGGGGCGACCTAATTGAGGTGTATAAGCATCTCAAGGGGCACTACTCTGTCGAGTGTCCTTACTTGGAGCTGGCGGACGCTCTCCCCACAAGGGGTCACAGCTCAAGATTGAAGAAGCCGCAAGTCCAGAAAACTGTGAGGACAAACTTTTTCGGAGTGAGAGTTGTGAACTCTTGGAGCAATCTACCAGAGAGTGTTGTGACGGCACCGAGTGTGAGCTCTTTCAAGACCAGACCTGACCAACACTGGAGCAGGTTCAGGTACATTCAGGAACCAGTGCATGCCCAGTACTTGCCAACAGTGCGTAACAGAGACGTGACCGATGACCTAAGCAGCTAACAAGGTGATCAGTGGTGAAGAGGAGAAAAGTAAAAGTAAAAGGTCCTTAAAACGGGGTTGATACGTCGTCAGGGAGATCGGAGTGACAACAAACTGTGAGGCGACTTCTTGTTCCTTATAGTTCCTCATACTTTCACATACAATTATATTAACAATGAGAGACAATCTTGTACTGTGCTGTTAATTGTTGTGAGTAAGGTCAGCATGAATTATTGAATTTAGACTTGAAACTTTAAGTTCTTCATTTTATTACAGTACTTTATAAATGTAATATAGATGCCCATTGAAATACGCTGTGGATATTTGTCCGGTTGTGGTTTAAGTATTTTTTTTTTTAGACAAACACCAGAAGGGGTTGACAGAATTGGACGAAACTTTGTGGAAACGTTAATTACAGTTTGTTAAATAGATAAATGGAAACGACACTTTACTTTTTTACTTTTATCCTCTTCACCACTGATCACCTTGTTAGCTGCTTAGGTCATCGGTCACGTCTCTGTTACGCATTGTTGGCAAGTACTGGGCATGCACTGGTTCCTGAATGTATCTGAACCTGCTCCAGTATTGGTCAGGTCTGGGTCATTTTTTCGTTAACCACCCATCACCTGTTTACGATTTTTTCTCATACTATTTAATAGATCTCTTCGAGAAACTAAAAAACATACTTGAATTTAGCAGGGCATTCCAAAAATAAACTGTCAGTGACTTCATCCACCTGGTTAAGGAACACGGTGTCATTGGGGGTCCGGCTATATAGGTCGAGGCCTGTTAGGTTAGGACCTGTTAGGTTAGGTTAGTACGTAGACCTAGTTTAGTTTTAACCTTTTTAACATTCCATTTGAAACTTTCCCAAGAGTGATGAATAATCTAGCTGTTACAATACAAGCAGTGATTGGTGGGAAAGGGGCTTACACCGAACATGTGCTGTGAAAATAAACTTACAGGCTTTGGCATTATAATAAAGCAAAAAAAATGAGAAATTTTGTGTAGTGTTCTTTTCCGCACAAAATTATTTTAGGGACATTTTTCTGGGACACTCTGTTTATCCTTAGTTTACATTGAAGCCGCTTTAAAAAAATGACCAACTATACTACAGGTACTATATTTTGTAATTTATTGGTGATAAAATTAACCTGCCTAACTTTCTAACCTTATTTTGGTTAGTTTTGTTCATTTTATGTGTGATAAATCATGTAATGTAGCAGTAGCTGGTAAGTCATAGTGTGAAATCTTTCATATGTAGGGAAAAAATCATAGCTTGCAGTCATGAATGTGTTAGGGAAGAAGCTGTAAATATAATATTATATAAAACTTATTCCTTCCCATTTTTTAAGGCTTTTCATGAGGGTAAGAAACGTATTTCTTCTGTAAAATAATTTTCCCCATTTGCTGATTAAAGGATGCAAGCATTGTTAAGTACAGTACAGTATTATCCCTATAATGTACTCATTGTCATATGCTTGTGGTTGTTAAATCACAAAAGTTGGTTTACTGTACTCCTAGTGTTGACAACTGTCAGAAACACATCAACATACTGTACTGTACTTTGCTGTGGGTGTCTTGTTTTATCTCCATCTTTGATCTTTTCATAAATATGTGAGAATTGTTTTGATACTAGAGAATTTGTGGGCCAGACAAATTATAGGCTTAAGACTACTGTACCTGTACCTAAGGAGGAACTTGTAACTCATCAGATGGCAGATTTTCTACAAATAAAATAAGCCGTTTTTTTCTAAAAACCAGTTTTTGTGATATAGCTCGAATGTGACGCTCAGCAATGCTACCTAGGTATGTTAATTCCTAGCCAATTTCGCCAGGCCAACATACAGGCAATTAAAACATCTAATAATTACTTAATAAGTAATATTAGGAGACCACGTCGCTACCTGGCAGAAACATGCATGATTTTCTAAGTTTATGAAGACTGTTGTTATACCTATATAGTAATTATGGATTGAAAAATAAAAATAAAATAAATACTGTACAGTATATATATATATATATATATATATATATATATATATATATATATATATATATATATATATATATATATATATATATATATATATATATATATATATATATATATATATATACTGTAATGAAGTACAGTACTGTACATATATGTAATAATTCCTAAGCCTTAGTAACATGAAATAAATCTCATTCATACCATTGTACATTTTTGACAGGTGGCATGATTGCTGCCAGGAATATTGCTGCCTCAAGTAAAAGTTTATCTAAGCTTTCCTCAGTCAGAATGCATATCAAATGTCGGGGAGGCTTCTACCCTCGCACAGATGACAAGGTAAGGTTGTTGCATTGCAAAAACACATACAGGTAGGGTACTTGTTTATGGTTGAGTTAACAAGTCATGTATAGTACATAACTATAAAGATTTTCTAGCAGAACTATCTAAACTGTGTGGAACTTGTTTCTGGTGATACAGGTACCAAGAGCAGAAGTACCAGATGATAAGGTTGAGTGGTCAGCACCTTTTCCTGACTATACACCAAAGCAGTACACAGCTCCACACATTCTGGCAGGTCCTGTATATGCTGACCCTGACATTGGGTAAGGCAAAAAGCACTACTGTATATAACACACGACATGTTATAAGATTTCAGTGTTAGTCTACTGTTAATTTCAAAAGGAATATCAGTAGGCAAATACAATGGTAAAAGGTAATTTTACTAGGAAGAGGCAACTGAGAAACTGAAAGATGATAATATTTCACAGCTCTCCTCTCTTGAATTCAGTCTTTAAGATAGATAGAGGCATTGAGAAAGATTTGAAAATACTGTAGAGAGAGTGATGAGAAAGAGTAAAAATTTTATAATCATGTCCAGTATTTTATTTGTAAGACCTACCAAAAACACCAGCACTCAGAGAAACCATGAATACTTAACAGGGGGATTATGCCACCCTCAGATGACTTTTTTTTTTTTGCAGATCAGACTTCAGGCCATGCTGGAATGCTTTAGAAGGGAACATCAATCGCTGTTCACATGAAGGAACCTACAGCATTGTGGAAGGTTTACCCAGGTAGGAATATTTTTGTGTTTATTGCTGTACAGTAAACCCTCAACATTTGTAGGGGTTAGGTTCCTAAAAAACACCGCGAATGTCAAATCTGCAAATGTTAAACTTAAGACCTTATGGGAAAAATGGGATTAGGGGATCTACACCCTCGAAGAGATACCTTTTTATGAATAACATTGTACATGTTAAATACAGTAAATACTTGTAAAATATATTTAAAAATATAATAATGTACTGTACTTACCAATGAAAATGATGCTGATGATGGTGGTGGTGATATTGGAAGAGAATTAGGTGGAAGTGGGGTCGGGCTCCATTTTTTCCCTGTTAGTGTTACAGGTTTGAAAAGCTACATTAGCATGTTTTGGGGGCAGAGGTTCACCACAAGATTCCAGCAAAAACAAGAATATTAGAAGATAGATGAACAATTCTTAAATTTACACAACTCTCTTGATTACTGGGCTGATTTATATTCATGGAGGACAAAACATTTGTGTCTACCACCCACGGTTGTCTCCGCTATTGGTGACCAAATAACACACGAGGTGAATGCCAAGACATCTTTTGATAGTTTATGTTTGCTCACGTCAGATGATTTATACTGGCTAATACCAGACGATAAATACTTGCTAATGCCAGACGATTTTACCGGCTAATGCCAGACGACATACTGGCTAATGCCAGGTGAATAATGGTAAATTTATGTCTGTGTTACAAGTCAGGGTCATAGCTAAAGATCAGGAGTATAGTACTGGAATCTTTTTTAAAGTATGTGAAAATTGGTAAAATTTAAATAGGCTAAGGTTTCTTTGCAAGAAAGTTGATGTGACAAAATGTAACATTGACACTAATTTTTTAGAAACATGCATGGTCGAACAGGAATTACTGGTCGTGGAGCCCTTGGTCGCTGGGGACCTAATCATGCTGCAGATCCTATTGTGACTCGTTGGAAGATTGCTGGCAATTTAGTTGTTAAAGGTTAGTGACTGATTTTAAATGATTTATGATTTTTGTGATGACTTTCTTTTCCTGTTGAAGCAAACTTTCTTCATATAAAACATCTCTCATTATATTAAGCCACAACCCAGTGGAATTACTGTACAGTATCTACTGTATATGTAAATATGGATTACTCTGAGTATTTCATCATTCTTACTTTACAAATACAGTGATTTCCCTGTTAGCCGGAACAATTGGTGCAGAACACTTCCGGGAATGAGAGATTTCCGGGTAACTAGACGACTCTCTTGAACCCGGAAAAATATTCTTCGTCCCCGGAATTTTCCAGGTAACGTAAAAATGTTCTCAAAATTTCCAGAAAATGTGCTTGATTTTCATCTCTTAAACTCGGAAAAAGCTCCCCCGTCCCCGGAATTTTCCAGAAAATGTGCCCCTCGGAAAATCCTTCCCAAAGCTGGAATTTTCCGGAAAATTCTGGCTTTGGGAACGATTTTCCGAAAAAATTTCAATTCCGGCTATCGGAGAGTTCCGGGTTTGAAGGATTCTGGCTAACGGAGATACATGTATTACTGTTTATTTGTTCTATTCTCTTCAGTTTGTTAAGTTCACTGTGTCTAAGTTTTCATCTGGTTATTTCTCCCTAATGATAAAGTTCTTATTGGTGGAACTTGTATTCAGATCATTGATTGATTTTTGTTTTTAAATTTCCATCTTCACTGTCATGTAGTAGTGACTTCCTTATATTTACCTCTACTGTACATATTTCACCCCAGATCTTCAGCCTTGATATTAATACTTTTTTCAGACATTCAAGTAAATTTATTGCTAGAATAAAGAACAAACACACAAATTCTTCCTTCATTGACTTTAATAGATGTGTTTTACTTTGTTATTCTCCTTCCCCAACAGGGCTCCAATAACCAACTGTCACTTTTTACACAACCAATCATAACCCATCAGCAACATGTCCATCTCCAAAAATCACTTGGCAAAATATTAGCTGGTCATTTACAAATATTACTGTTTTGTAGATTTCCATCCTCTCTCATTTCCAGTGCATCTATTCATCTCTTCTCAGAATTTTGTTTCTCCCTCTTACCACAATTTTTAGAGGTTTGATAATGTAATTAGTCCTACAGTTTAAATCAAATTTACTTCAAACTTGGATGACAACCAGACTGTTGTGTATAGTACAGGTGTTCAGATTGTTTAGAAATAATGGTATGATAAATATGGTTACAGATGAAGGCCAAGGTTTTTGTATCAATACTGATATTTTGGCAAGACTTCATAAAGTGCTCATTACCAAATTTATATTACTATATCTCAAAGATCAAGGTCACAAGAAGGTCAAAGGTCAAAGAATGAAACTTCATATGAATATGCATTGTCACTAGACAGGTTACAAGACTTCAGATTTGGAAATCTGTGTCAGAGGTCAAGGTCATTTGTGATGGTTATAGATGAAAACATTGTCCAGGTAAAATCTGTGCAGAGGCAGATACTTTGGTGAAACTCACAGATTAGAGTCACTGCTGGAAATCAAAGGTCAAAACTTTGTCCAGAGCATAATTTTTTTATCCACTTGGATAATTTTCTGAAATTCAAGAAGAGTAATTTTCTTGACAAACCAGCTCTTAAGCTGGAAATTCCCATATCAGTAAAAAAATATATATTTTTCTATATGATCTCATCAGACTTTCACCAATTCACTTTGAATTCCTTATCATAAGTTTCAATATTAGTAGCAGTAACTATATTTACTTGAGGTAACTAGACCACCACTAAAGTTAATGTACAAATATGGCCGAGCCAAAATTTCTAAATGGAATAAGGGTCTAAACTGTGGTAAATAAAACTGCAGAACAATGATTATCTAACTCAACCTAGATGCTTATGATATGAAGCTACTTACTTTACAGTACAAAATTTAATTTTGTGAAATGGAGATGACTTTTCTTATGGTCAAAGAAAAAGACGGGCAAAGCTGTTACATGTACTGTATACTTTTTAGTTTAATTACCATAGTTTTATAATAGATGTAAGCTCTTCATGTGTGTAGCCAACTCTTCATCTACCCCCACAACAGCATTAAACACCATAGAAGACAGGGTATAGTAAAGTTATGAATAACATCTTTAACATAAATCATTCAGTGTTGATGCAAAACTAACTTTTCCATTACTATAGGTGAAACTGGGAAACCCATCCTACAATTTGTGTGCATTCAACGACGTGATTGTGGTGATTGGGCCATCCCAGGGGGTATGGTTGATCCGGGAGAGCAGGTCAGTGCCACACTTCTTCGTGAGTTCCTGGAAGAAGCTCTCAACTCTTTAGAAATGACAGAAGACGATAAGAATCGTACTGAGAAGAAACTAAAAGATTTCTTCAAAGCAGGTTAGGATAATTGTTTTTTTTTAAGTTTGCACAGACATGAAATATTTAGTTGCTGGTATGGATGATGATTGCAGTTTAAATTACGAGATTTGGATGATTACATTCATCAAACTAAAAAATTTGGTAAATGTTAGCTATTTCCGTTTCTTCTCTACTCTTTCAAGCATTTTTTTCACTGCAGTTTATTTCAGGGTTACTTAATACAGTAAGATCTATAATGGTCAGTACAGTACTTAGAAACTGAAAGTTATCTGTGTTGAATAACAATGATTTCATACTCAAAACTTTGTCTCTAGAGTTTAAAATTTTGGGTGTACTGTATGGTTAAACCACCGTTAGACTATAAACAATGATATTATCTTACTGTTTTATCAAGAAATAGCAAAAAAAAAAATCTCTAAATTCTATCTTTCTCTTTAACATGACAGAACAAATACTGTTTTGTTCACTCGTAGATTAAAATGACCCCAGTGCATTTTGGGTAAGGATTAATATATTTCTAAGGTCTAGCTGGTATTTATATGAACATTCGAGATAAAAAAAATTGCATATACGAATTTCATAAATTGACATCACTTCCTTGAGATATGAAAGCTTCCCCTGCTTATACGAATTGGGTCCGGGTAAAAATTCAAATCACGCGCCAAGATTAAGCTGGTGCAGCCATCTGGAGAGATGCACAGATTAAGTCCTTTACTGAGCCCACCAACGCTCACCCCCTTGTGGTGGTGAGGCCAGACTGCCCTCCCAGAAGGTAATGTACCAAAGTTATACAGCTTTTTCTGAATCATTTTCATGTGTTAGGTAGTAAGTGTGCAGTGTGTGGAAGAGGCAGGCAGTGTGTGAGGTGCGGTGTTGGTGATATCCTTACCCTACTGGTCCAAGCTGTGAGTTGCGTTACTGTTATTTTTCAGCTCGTATTTTCGGGTAGATAAACGTAATTTTCTTTCCTTTGTCCTTGTCACATGCACAAACAATCTTCATATGGAATGTGTAAAAGAAGTTACAGTATATAATCATCATAAGGTCAAAAACATAAGGGAATTATCATTATGTACATATAGAAGCAAGCACTGAGGGTGGGAGGGAAAGAGCTATGGCTGGGGTTCCGTCACTCGCTGTTTCCTCATCTCCTGCCAAATGGCAATGCATATTTTTTCTTTTATTTATTATTATTTTTATTTATTCTTCATATTTACTGGTACAGTATACTGTATATTATTTTGTGTATAAAGAATAAGTTCTTCCACATGCAAGCCTCCCACACATCCAGCCAGTTTTATATTATATTTTCCCTATTTCTAAGCCACATTAGCGGGACACCACCCACCCGCTCCAATTCCCACCCAGGAGGAGGGGAGCACCATGTAAACAATGTCATCACTGACCACACCCCACAAAACACAAGTGCAGCTGTAGAGAATGGAGGAGGCCAGAGTCAATACCAAGACCAGAAACATTACCAAGGACAATTTCCGGCTTGAAATTCATGTATGCTAATACTGACACGATCCTTGACAAGAGAGCGGAGTTTGAAACACTAGTGAAGGTACATCAACCCGATATACCAGTGGAGAGTCCCTTCTCCAAATTTAAAAAAATAAAAAGCAAACTCAGAAGCCTCTGTAGAGAGAAGAGGCTCTCTGACCTTTTTTTGTTGGCAATATAAAAAGACATTCAAGTAAGTCACAGCGAGGTCATAAACATAATCAAAGATATGACAACAAGGCTGTGATTGCTAAATACCTCTAGTTACATCAAGTACCTCAGCGAAGGAAGAGAAAGTGTTCCTTTATCATAGTTTTCTTTACTTATGTGAACAAGTTGAATATGTTGGTGTTTTAGCTTAGTCAGCTATATACAGTAATTTACAATGTTTACCTCAGTGAAGTAAGAGGGTTATGTTTATTTTTTCAAACTGGTTCCTCATATATATATAATAATTACAGTAAAAGAATATGTGAAAATATGTTCTCTGCTCGTCAATATGTTTAACATTGAAAGATCTAATTTGTTTTAGCCGTGGTGAAGCTGTAAAGTAGCATTCAATGACCGTTTATTTAGTTTATGTTGTAAGTAAATTGTCTAATAATGTCATTGTATGACATATGATTCATCTACACATTAAGTTGAAGTACATATTGACAACCAGTATTTTGTAAAAAAAAAAAAGCAGTTTGCGTGTTGCTTTTTTTGCATATTAACTATATTTTCATTAAAAAATTATAAAATATACCAAAATTCAAGGGACATTCATTGCAACTGCATATGGCCTTCAAATAGATCAAATTAAAAAAATATTCCCCAGGGGACTTGCAGCACCCCCCCCCCCAGCTGTAAAGGCTGGCTTTGCTCGTCTCCTCCCTCAGGAGATGGTGCTCTTTTTGCAAACTCTCGGCCCCCCCAACTGACAGATCCTGTGCATGGCTCTGAATTTCAAGTGCCATAAATATAGGTAAGCAGGTTACATGTCACCCCTTGTAACTGGCACACATGACCCAGCCACACAACTTACATGAAGCTAGCTAGCCATGACATTAACACCACCACCACTCCACACTTCTGACAGGCAGACATTTATTGATTTATATGCCTGAAAGGTCTTATAATTAGCCACTAAACATAACTTATCTCGCGTTTTTCTTCTGGGGGGAGCCCAATCACGCAGGGGAACTGCCTCTTAAACATGGTAAAATGATTTTCTACTGTACTGTAGCATCAAGGAAAAAGTAGAAACTCAAAAAACTTGATATGGAAACTCTGTGATCAAGCATTTCGGATACCTGATACAGTACAACTCAAATGCACCATATGGTGCATTTTGATGGTCAGGAATGTGCAAATGTGAAACTTTTATTGTATTATTTAAGTATACAGGGGTAAAAAGAGGAAACCCTTACAGTAATGGACAGGGCGTGCCCAAACTAGTCTGGTATTGCTAGGGTTTACTGTATTAGCTTTCCTTTTGAGTTAGTACAGAATATTATTTCAGTATTGTTTTTAATAATTAAAACACTGAAGTTGTACATCAGCAGACATGGCTCACAGTTTCTAGAGACAGTATTTCAATAGTACAGTAGTATTGCTAAACCACTTGGCTTCAGATCTGGCTCACACATTTTATTATTTAAACAAGTAATATGTTATTTTGTTCCTTCAGTCAAAGGAATACAAATTACAGTATTCCAAAATTAGGATGTTTTCCTGTCATTTCTATATATTTTAATCATTAATGATGAAATCTGGCAAAATGGCAGTGTACAACTAACCCAAACACACCAAAGTAAAGTTTTATAAAATTAGAATTTTTATTAATGCAATGAAAATACCCTGTACTGTATATATCAAAGATTGTCATAAAATTAGTTTAATGTTACAGGTGAGGAAGTTTACCGTGGCTATGTTGACGACCGACGCAACACCGACAATGCCTGGATGGAAACAGTTGCATACAACTTCCATGAAAATGATCAGGGTGGTCTTCTGTATAGTCTGAATCTACATGCTGGAGATGATGCTCAAGCTGTGAAATGGCAAGACATCAGTAGTCAAATAAACTTGTATGCCAGTCATAGAGATTTCATTCAGAAAGTGGCTGAGAATCAAAATGCTCATTGGTGAAAACAAAACTGTAAGAAACATAGTGAATAAAGATCAGATTGGTTGCACAATGCATATCTCTAAAAAAAAACAAAAAAAACAAAAAAAAAACAGGCAAATGTTTTTAAATTCGTAGTACACTATACTTGAATTTATGATTAATTTTGAGGATGCTTCTGTATTGTATGCCCAATTGCCTTGGGTTCATCCAACTTGTACACCCATAAAAAAATTATTCGGCACCCGTGTCGTATTGTATCACACCGTAAGGGTGCCAAATAATTTTTTAGTAGGTGTACAATATTTGATTAGTGAGACTATTTTAGATTTGAAGGGGATTGGATGATAAAATAGATACTGTATAGGTACAATAGGAACAGATATTAAAGAGAGGATGAAGTAGTTATAGTGAAGACATTATCATAGTGGAAGATGAAATTTAATAGGGAATTCAGAAATGGTAAATCAGGAGGAATAGGTGTGGATTGTGAGATGATGAAAGGTGGAACATGTGTATGGTTATTGACAAAAGTGAATGAAGGGCATTATTTTCTTATGGTACATTGACAAATTGGTAATCCTCCTGGGTTGGCAATCCATTGGTTGTGAGTTTAAATCCTCATGCAAAGGGAATGCATAATTGGAACTAATTGTGAGCTATTGTTAGTATTATAACCACTTTCCGACCTATCCTGTCAGATACTCTGGGACTAATAGATTCCAATTAAAGGTGCAAGGGGATGAACAGGCTATCTATGTGAAACAGGAGGTCAGCAAGCTAAAAGATTTTTGTATTTACAGGGAATTGACATATTATAATACAAAATGGAAATTACAGATTCACTTTGTATCCAATTTGAGGAAATGGTTACATTTATAACTTTTCTTGCACTTTCCTCCTTTTTGTGTTTTGATAATCAGCCATTTTCTCAGTTCAGGATCTAGCTTCCACACACGAATGGGTTTATCAAACATTTTTCCGAGGCCTCTCGCACCAGTTGAGCATAAGACTGATGTGAGAGGCCTTGGAAAGGTTTTTAATAAACCCATTCGTGTGGGAGCTAGCTCCCAAACACATTCACCTAGTTCCTGAATGACTGAGAAAATGGCTGTAAATCTAACCTCGAGTTTTCTGTGGTCTGCCCTACTCATGCTGGAGGGGTGGAAAGATAACTGACTAAGAGATAGGATTATTAAAAAGAAAAAAGGTTACACAGGACTATTTTTTTTATTCACTGGATTTATCCTTTCTGTCCAAATGATTTTTTGGGGGGTATTTTGTGCTTCTTGTAATTTTCAAGAAATACAAAAAATATAAATTAATACTATGGATCATTTTAAATCCATACCACATTGCAGCTACAATTGCACAATTGTTATTATGCACAAACTTTGTTGTAATGCCAACAAAATTTAGTACAGTAAATTTTTTTTTTATGGAGCAATCTTCCTAAATTACAGGAATGTTAGTTTAATATTTGAGGTGACATTCAACTTCTGACAGTCATACTCTTGAGCCATAGTTGTGACACTGTACATCCTAGCTTATAACTTATTTTTGCAAACACTTATTTAGACTTCCTTCCTAAAACGAGGGTTTAACTTGGTAATTATAAACTCTGATCTTTTTGTTGTTAAAGTTTAAGAAATACAGAGATGAGGAATGAAAGTACAATACTACAGAACAGGTACCCCTTACAAAACATTACTGTTTACAATCAACTTCACTGATATGATTGCTATAACAGTCCCATATAACGTCTGTAGGACATTCTAAACCACCAGTTACAGTCATTTTCTTGACCAGTGTTGGTAAGATACATCATACTCATCTATCGGATATTAGATTATAAAACCTCACCAATACCTGATAATCACATGCTATAAATACTTTACAGTACTGTACCTCAAAACCACATTTTAATTATGCAAAGACCTTAACCTTTTCTGTCTTGATCATATTTTTGTTTATAAATCGGTAATGTTTTCTTTACCAAATAACAGATGGGTCTGTAGTTAACATCAAATTGAAATGTCAAGAACTGACATTCCCACACACATGGATACTCTTTCCGAAGATTCTAAAATGGAGGGTTCACTGGTCCCAACCAGTGTATATATGCTTGTAAGCGGTAGAATGTAGAGCAAACACTGCTTAATGCCAGAGTATACACTGTACATAAGTATAGCAGAGCTTATAGGGTAAATGCAAGCTGCATATACTGTACATAAAAAGCTTTATGCCATACATATTTAGAAAGGTTTAGGAAAGAGCCCTAAAAACTCAACTAGAAATGCTGTCCCTTCATTATACAATTCCCTTCATTATACAGTATACAAGTCATTAACAGTAAACCACAATCCAGTCTAAGTACTTTGTGCCTTAATTAAACATTAAAATACTGATTTGTACACATAAACTGGCTCCATTTAGAAAGGAAAATATCTGATAAAGTATAAGTACATCAGAAATTTTACAATATAAACATATTCCAAGAATGAAGCACTCTGAACACACCCACATCAGTCCTCTGTCAAGTGTTCTGTGCACAAGATCTATAATCAGATGAAAAAGTTATTTTAAGTACTGTGTGATGCAAAGGACACAAATGATACACCAACCACTACTGGAAGAATTGCAGGAGCCAAGAACACATGTTCTTCAGCATATTTGTAATATTAACTCTTTCGATGCTATGTTCAACTAAAGTCAAATTAATTTTTAATGTAAATAAAAATCCATGTGATGTTCAATATATAACATCTAAGTTTGAAACGACTGCCAGGAAAGGAATATGTTGCACCGTTGTGGTGGGAACAGGAGTTGCTTAGTATTGCCCGCAAATTGTAAACAAAGCGTCGGCTTGAGACACACACATGGTCGCAGCTTTTGACACACTTTGATTTTCTTCAGATTTTAGGTGTTATGAGCACAATTATATCACAACCTATAGAACAACTGTGTATTCGTATTTTAATTTACATTTCAGTGATATATTTATGAAAAATAAGGCCAAAATTAATGCCGAAATGGGGCATTAGTGCCCAAATGACAACATCAGAGTACCAGCGGTCGAATCAAAATATGCGTCAAAAGGGTTAAAACACTTATTTCTGATACAATACAAGAGTCTACCTGATATCTTAACACTAAGTATTGGGTAAGTATCCCCAGAACACTAACATTCATCATGCAATATCCATTAAAGAAGTTTGGCTAATCCCATCAGTTTTCCTCTGAGGGACAATTTCCTCTTTGACAAGGACTAAGCCAGTTAGTACCTAGACAACAACTGACTAGTTCTGACAAGTGCCTGGTGGTGACACAAATGGAAGCTACTGTTATTGATTGGCCTTAAGGTATTATTTTCTACAAAGCTATTTTTTACTAATTGGTATCAAAACTATGTCATGTTAACCTAATCTTTTTAATACATTAACAGCTGCTATGAACAGTACACTAAAAATATAAAAAAATATCTTAGGAGGTAATTTCTAACTAACTGATGGCAAGTTCAAGAACCCTGAAACAACTTTACACTCACTGTATATTCTCACTAAAAGCCAAATTTCTTATTTGGTACACAAAACTTTACTTCATAAACTTAACTGGATCTAGTAATTGCACTATTTTAAGATACTACTTATCCCCAGCTGAATTATATGTACATTTGTCATTAAGTCAACCCACAGTAAGAAGACTCATGCAAAATATCATCTCATCACATCTTGGTTAAGTGACTTATCATAAAACTATTATCATACAATTTTTCCAATATTGTAATGTGTCCTCCAATATTGCAGTGTAAGGTGAATTATTAATTACCATTAAAATAAAGCAATAATAATGAGATGCGTTCCCTCGTGTAACCTTTTTATATCTTTCGTGTGGCTTTTTACCCTCTTTTCCCCCAAAACAATACAATTAATGAAAACTGCAAACTATATTCTTTAAATAATATTTATGAATGCACCGTATACAATATAAATCAATAAAAATAATGTCACACAAGAAGAGATGGGACGCCAGTGTTGTTGTCTGTGTTTACACCCATAATGTCAGTTGTCCACCTGAAACTGACGAAAATAAGACCCTGGTTGTTGCTGTATTAAAATTAATGGAAAACAATATGTATGTTTTAATTTATGTTATTTAAAGTACAGTAAAAGTAACCATTGATGTTAAAGAAAAAGAGAGATTGATAGTGGAGCGGCAATGTATACTTGCACCCTCAAGGAAATCGCGCCATTTATCTTAAGAATATGTACAAAAGATTCATCATTGTTTATTACTGAATATGTATTTGCTTGAATTAATGTTTCTATATGCGAGCTGAACAATGCAATTCGTTAATAATACGTAGCATATTAAAACACACAAGAGGAGACGAGACGGCATTGTTGTTGTAAATGTTTACACCCATAACATCAGTTATCCACCTGAAACTGAAGAAAATAAGACCCTGGTTGTAGCTGTAGTAAAATTGATGTAAAAAATTTAATATAGAGGTTTGAAGTAATGTTATTTAATGTTAATAAATGGAACAATAAAAGTAGCTAACCACTAATGGTAAAGAAAAAAAAACGAGACGGATTGAGAACGCCAACGTATGTAATTGTGTACATGTGAAAACATATAATTTCTCGACAAGAATATGAAAGCAACACTTCTTTACTGCTCATATATGTTTTAAATAATACTTATGAATGTAAAACAAAAATTCTACTCACCAATGGTGGTAAAGTCTAAAATATAAGGACAGCCAATGTTGTTGTGTCAGTTTTACTCAGATGATGAAGTCATCAGGTTCAACTCTGGTTGAAGCTGTAGCTTTCCATAAAGATGTCAGAGCTGTTGCTGAAACTGTTACTGAAGTTGTTGATGAAGCTGCTTATTATGCTGAATTTGATGGTGTAGGTGAAGTTGATGTTTAGGCCTTCAAATAATAAAGCTGTCGAAAGAACCTTTCACAGTCGCTTTCTTTTCTCATTTTACATCTTTATCTAGAGGTCATATGCATTTTTCATGTCCCTGTTAATTTTACTGCTTTGTTCTGTTAATGGAGCCACTTCAGAAAATATGTTCATTGCTTGCTCCATATAATATCCACAGACCTCTCTCGCCTTTCTTCATATCGTTTTAACTTGCTCTCTTGCTCCTGTTGAATAGGGACATAAAAATACCATAAGAAAACTAAAAGCTTTTCTCCTTCTCCTGTTCAGATGCGTGAAAACCAAGGGCCCACCAGCTGTGACTGTTTATACTATATAGTGATGCAGGTGTCACCACTCACAAGCCTGGCAACCTCCGTGAGCAAGGCGTGTTTTTTTTTATAATACATATTGGGATTTAGTTATTATTTATATGAAAATATAATTTATTTTATTTTTATTCTATTCTATTTTCGTCGTAAATATGAAGAAAATAATGGCGTAAATTAATTGGGTCTTGAATTAACCAGGGTCTTAAATATGAATCATCGTTAGTAGAACCATCATTATCGGAGGCTTTCACATATATATATATATATATATATATATATATATATATATATATATATATATATATATATATATATATATATATATATATATATATATATATATATATATATATATATATATATATATATATATATATATATATATATATTATAATCATCCTCTTCCTAGAGACAACATAGTTTCTATCCGTGTCCACATCTTTTCTTTTTTTTGCTAACAAACCAATTGCAACTCTCTTTGGGAGGCTGCCTATCATGGACATTTATCCAAACCTCACAAAGTTTTAACAAAAATATCACATAGATGCCTATCAGTACAGTGTCTGGGTGCTCACTTAACATTCATGGGCCTCACACTAAATACTTTCCTATTTTCATGTACCTGTATTGTACCTAAGGTAACCGTAATGTCAGGACATATTTCTCACGTCTCATTTAAGGTTCTTCATGCTAATTAGTACTGCATACATTAAAATCATCAACATAAAATTGTCTTCAATGAAATAATGTGACACTTCTGTTCAATTAAAACTACTGCACTATATTAAACATTCTCTTTTTCAATTTAATCTTTGAAATCATCAGTAACTTTCAGCTTAGCCAATTCACTCATTTTGTTCTACTTTTATTTAACAGAATAAATTGCAAAGTATCTTGTTTTCAATTGTACTTATTGTAGTTAATTTACAAATACAAAAATATTTAACAGTAATCCCTCACCAACCACGGGTTTACCAAATATTGATTTTAGTATCCACATTACAGTATTTATTTTGTCCACCATTTTACCAAACATGATATCCTGTTTTAAATATCTGTGGTTTCCAGGAGATATCTAGCCCAGCGTGGCAGAAAGTTTGCTGGATCACAACTATCTAGTGCAGTGGTTCTTAACCTTTTTTGAGTCACGGACCCCTTTGAGAATCTGGTGAAAGCTATGGACCCCCTCCCTAGAAAAATGCACATAAGCACATAAACACAACTTTGCATGCAATGAATATACTTTATTTTATTGAAAATTCATTGCCTCATACAGTGTATGACATACACAAAGTATGAATAAAGTAAACATTCTAGAAGTCAAAACCTGACGACAATGACGATTGTATGTTACCTGACCGTGTACAGTAGCATCCCATGCCACCCTACAGATTTACTGGTTTTCTTCAGTAACCAAAAATACATACATAACATCTGGTATATATTGACAAAAATAGAACAACTTAATATAAAAATATAAATGTTAAATTTTTATCTGATCTTCATGGACCCCAGGTTAAGAACCCCTGATCTAGTGGTTCAAGTTGTTCACTTTAACGTCTATCTTATTTCAAAGAAAATTTTTTGACCATCTTCCACACCCAGATCATCTTCCTCCTTTACTCTTTAAATTTTTTTTCATCCTTCATTTTACACCAGTACCCATTGTAGCTTTCTACTGTCTAGTCATGACTTAACCCTTAAGCCCCGGGTTAGGGTGCTGCTGGCTGTACAACCCCCACTGGCAGGGTTAAATCGTGAAAAAAAATTCAACCTTTCCAAAAAATAAAAAATAAATAAATAAAAAAAGGCGGGAAAATAGGCAGAAGTTCTGGAACATCACCCGGGGCCTAAGGGTTAATTCAACACTCTGGGTCAGGGGACTGGGGCGACAACCACCCTGCTAAATGAGTTTTATATATTAGCTATAATAACTGCTCAGTGTATTGTACAATATAATATAAAGTGAACCCTCACTTTACGCGGTCAATTGAACCCACGGCGGCCGGCGTAAAGTGAACAACATAACATATGGGATTAATTGAAATAGAGACCGGGCCGACCCCCAAACTCCACTTTTTCAGACACAATACCTACGTTGTAGTAAAAATAACTTCTTAATTTTATGATGGTATGCAGACACAATTAATAATTAAGAGAAATATCAATAATATTAGGTTTTTTAACACTTACATAAGTAGAAAAGATGGCTGGGCACATGGGGATGGGGGGTTGGTTCCGAGGCAGAGGGCAGATTATTGGCCCTCACCTGTATCACTTGTATCAATTGTATCACTATCCACCACGAGGCTTGCTAGGGCCTCTTTGTCAAACCCCTCAAAGTCCATATAAGTCCATATCCTCACTATCATTATCACTGACTTGGGCCGGCTGTGGTGGGTGGCGGGTGAAGAACTAGGTAATGTTTTGATGACTGGGCGACCTTGTGCGCACCCTGCTCGCGCCGCTCTCCGCGTAAAAGGGTACACACACCGCAGAAAGTGAGCATTCCGTGTTCGGCAGGGTACCGCGTAAACGTGGAAACGCGTAAAGTGGGACCGAGTAAGGCGAGGGTTGACTTTATGTTTCTTCTAACCCATTCACTATGGGACCCCAGGCAATTTTAATAAGCACAGAGAAGCCCCCATACTCAAGGGGTTAAACCTTGAGCTGCACATTATAGAGCTTTAGGTATGTCTCAGGGGTCACTTTACTAAAACCCTTATTTCCATTGCCAACTGTGGGAGAATTCTAGAACATAACCCCCACAGTTGGTGAGGGATTACTATATGGATGTATGTACGTATCCATGTGTTTACAGCATACAGTATATATATTGGCATGTTTAGCGATTATAACAATGTGCTCAATGACAGTTGCTTGTAAACATGCCTGAATTATGTGCATTATGACAAGGAATAAAATGCCATGTAGTCACTGTGTACAATTATGAAAGAATCACAGAGGCTTAGCTGCTTTTTTTTTTGGGGGGAGATATTTTCCCCTCGTCAGCAACCATTAACGATAGTCTAGTTGTAACGGTTTCAAAGTATCATTGTCATTCAACCTAGTGCACACACATGTGATCACAGTTTGCCAACTCCTGCTCTCTTATTGTCAATTAACAATTACACAAAATATCCATGAAATTGTAGACATATACAGTACAACAGATATCATATGTTGTGAAACTAGTTATCTGAACAATAAACTGAATGTTCCTCAAATATATATAACAATATAAATTTGTTTATGATTATGCTGATGTTACACTTACTGCCTCTACTGTATAACCAAAAACATTGATTCAGGGATTGAGGCTTATGGAGCTTTACGGTGTGTACAAACTAAACCTTTCTTTCTTTTCCTTTTTAAATGATGTCATGCTACATAAGGGAAGCTACATAAAAAATATGATCCTTAAAATGATATAAAAACAATATGTAAAAAAAGGCATTCAAGAAATGGTCTTTAAGTTATATCAGCAGGTCGGTCAGCACAGTGAGTGAACGAGTCAGTCACAAACGTGACTAGCACAGCTCAAAAGTTGGAGTTACAGGAATGGAAGTAAGGATAACAACACAGTGAACTAAAAACAGGAAGATGAAAGCATGGAATACACTTAAATTGACTGAAATGTTAAAGAAAACTTTATACATTATGACCTTAGTTGCACTCTGGGGATTTCTAATTTAGAAGAAATTTGCTAAACCATACAAAAAATCTGTTACAAATCTATTCAGTTACGAGTACAGAAGTGATTTTCAAGAATATCACGGAAGTGGGGTAGATATGCGAAGGGAAACGCATGAAAATAAAGATTATTTTTGTAACATATCCTCTGGATTTGGATATTTAAATGTGGTTTGGCTGTTTTAAGTAAAGATGTTTCACAAAAATAGTTTAGATAGAAACTGAGAAGTGATTGTAGAAGACTTCTCCCACCCCAGGTTTAAAAGGTAGAAACTTGGAAGAACTCGTGGGTGACTAGATCAAAGTGGTGCCCATAAAATAGTTTAAAAAGTGAGGTGCTTCCTCTGAATACATTTGTTAAACTAAGTTGTACCTAAACCATAACAAAATCAAACGAAAATATCAGTACGTATCCTGTATATGAAATGGACAAGTGGTGGATAAAAAGTCTTTCAATAGCAGTCTCAAATTCAAACAATGAGCTCTTAACTTTAAGGTGACTCCTCAGTCAACAAGTGCTTTGAAATCTGGAAGCACCATGGATAACAAAGTATTTCTATTGTAACACAACCACAACTCCAAAACTACATACTGGTTACATATAAAAAGGCCACCAAAAAAAAGCTACTATACTCAACCTATAGTCATACAGTATCATTCATTCTATAAAAAAAAACATAATAATGTACTGCATAGAGTTAACTAGGCATTCAGGAGGATGCTACTACACTATACCCAAAATATCATGAAAGATTACAAAATTCTTTTCCCAAATATCCATGAGAATTCTCTAAAAACTACCAGTAGTTCAGGATTAACATACTGTAAATAACTGATTTAAGGCATCTGCCCACAAACACTAATTAAAAAAAATAATTAACTGCACACATTATTAAGCCTTGGTTTAAAAATTAAATGCAAGTCTTAATACTAAAACCAAGAACCAAACTAAGATTCAAGACACGAGTAACCACATACAGTACATTCACTTTGCAGCTATCGGTAATTAAAGGTAATAATAAAATTATTAACATTCTTAACAAACCTTAAATGAAAAGTAAATAGTACAGGTATACCTTTTGTTATAGGATACTCAAAAATTTATTTGCTTGCCTTTTAATGGGCTTAAACTCAGCCTCTGATAACTGAAGCTGTATAAGAGAGTTGCAAGTCTTAGAAAAAGAAATTAGATATACTGTACAAAGACCAAGGATGACAAGTGATAGCCTGCATAAAAACACTGGTCAGTCATAACCTAGCAGCAAGTGGAATGTCATAGTTGCATTTTACCCGTAACACCAAAGTGTCACTTAGATTTTTTTATTTTATTAATATTGCATTTTCAATTGTAATTCTACATGAACGACTGTATGTACAAAGAAAGACAAAAGTCGTGTCGTGAAATTTGGTGAAAACATATGCCAAGGGCTCAACTTTTGGTGCGCTCTGCCTTGTGGTAGGGGGCTCTCATAATGTTTCACGAGTTATATTTAATCTTTGGACAAAGCCACGACATGACTTTTGTCTTTGATTGTACATAAAATGCATTTATAATTTGAAAAGTGTTTTTTCCAATCACATTAACTGGCTTATCGCTAACAAATTATTACAACCAGCATCACCTCAATCATTTTACACCAAAATACTGAAAACAATGTGACGTGAGAAATTTTAAACCTTCAATCAAACCTCGTCCCTTACTGTCATGTGGAGGCAGACCCTCATTTGACTGAAGCTGTAAGCATGAGTCAGACATGGATTGGTTTAGTGTTGCAGAATCTCTAGTGCCATTCAACCACCACAAGTGGAAGCCATCTATTTCTCTCATATTTTTCATTATATATCATATCCAATCTGAATTTTAAGCTTGATATAATGGGCATATGTCTTAAAAAGACCATCTACGATGATGAAAAATAGCACTCACTATTCTTCTAAAGATCACTCTCTCCTCTCACATGAGATGATGTAAAATACTTATATTGTGTCTCCCTGAGAAATATTGACGGAAAAATGGAGCAAAAGATCATTATTAAATATGCCATTGTCTAACTTGAACTTGCCAAAATCATAACTCCAGAACTTCAATCAATTTCTGTATTTACTGTGACAATAATTAATCCAGTAAATCTTGATAAAATACAGTCTCCTACCTCCTACCCTGAATTTATTAATGTCTTGCAAAACATTCCCACATGCCAAGCCTTGGACAATATTAAAAATAAGCCACTTTTTTCAACCCAAAAGAGAGGAAACCTTATTTAAGTAGTCACTTTTTGTGGATACATCTGTCCACAGAACCCATAGTCTGTTCATCTATGGTATATACATATACATATAGCTGCAGTACAATGAGTTCATCAAAATGTTGACAATTTTGCAAGCAGGTTGAACATGCTGGCTAAGATCAGATTTTTATCATATCTTTTAACAGCAGCACTACAGCTTAAAGCAATAACAACCAGAATAAATACAAATCTTAAAAACAATTGTAACTTGGATTCTTTTCTGCCAGTAAATTAGTTAACATATACCTGTATACAGTACTGTGCTGCATATTTTACTCTTTTAAACAAAAGGTATTAACTTGAGATACAGGTATGCTCACTACAAAAAGTATCTGCATAATTTTTTGCTAGACAACATACAATGGATGAAGGATTTTGACAACCCTACCAACACAACAGGAGTCAGTGTTCATTTTGGCATCCATTGGATCCCACCTTGTAGATACTTTATGTAGCGAGTATACTTCATTACAATTTCTTTCTTTTTTTTGTAAATGTAAAAGCTTGAAAGAGATTTTCATACTGTATACAGGAATTACAATTTACTGTAGTATTACCAAAATTATTCTGACACTTGTACATATACGGTGTATAAAAAACCACTCAACCCTGAAGCTGCACGTTGAGACAAATTATTACACTAAATTCATGATGCTGTTACTCACAAACAGCCTATACAGTACAGTATTTCCTTGTGTGCAGGAAACATTCAAATTACCAACATCTATACAGTACCTGTGCATTCAACCTCACATTATCATTAAGGGAAAAGTTATCAGATCTGTGACCAGAATAATATGAGTTCCATTACAGTACAGTACTAGAATTCTCTTAAAGCTTCAATATAGTGTGAATAATCATCACAGTTAAGTATCCAATACCTCTGAAGTTTATGATAATTACAAATCACTCCCTTAAATTTTTTTTAGTTAAGTGAATGCGTGTCATATTTTCATTAAAATGTGGAATGGAGAAATTTAATCATGATACATTATTGTATTAATATCATAATTATGATGATAAAAATACCATAAGAAATACAAATGCTTTGAGATTCAAAATCTTTCATTTCTCGGTTTTGGTATTTAGTATTATACTAAACAAACTACAAGTTATGGTGATGAATTAAAATGATAAATCCTATCAAACACCAAATAAAATCATTGTTTTCAGCAGAGTTTTAGATGAAGACTTTTTTATACTGACCTGCCTGAGCAGGATATATTACAGTAATGTTCTGTATACATTGTATATACAGTATAATTACTGTATATGATTAAAAGACTTTTCTGTTTTTGTTAAGTCCTATTCTTCATTACAGTACGATTGCAAGTATAATAGCAAGCTTTAGCATAGGTGAATTTACCTAAGTACACTAATAGAAAGCCATCTCTTGCCCAATTCAGCTGTAGCTCAGTTTTTAAACAGGATTCAGTACTGTACTAATAATTTAAGCATACATAAGCATGCTGAAGCAAGTGTTCTGCATTAAGACAGCTACTGGTAGTTTATATATATTTACATTATACTGTATATAGTTCTAAAAAAAAATTACATTATGGTAAACATCTTTTTAACATTATGTTGGTAAAAAGTCAGATAAAACATCAAGGATGCCTGTGTTTTCTTACAGTTCCCATCACATCAAAGAAATAAATGAATAAATTCATGATTCATATGGACATGTATTCCTGTTTCTTTGTGAGCATACCAGTACAGTACAGTATTTCCAATTTGTGGAAAACATGCTGAAACTTGAGGTAAAACCTTTAACTTGTAATATGTCATCACAAGAATCAAGAGGGTAATCTACATCTAACTAAATTATTCTTTTTGTATCAAAACCTGAAAGAGAATACAGTAAAACACTTACACAACAGCTTAATACAAGTATTAAAATGGGTCAGTTGTGAAAATCAAGACTATGTAATGAACACTTTTGATTAAAACTTTATCCTATAAAGTTTAAACTCTAAATATGAAATTATTGTGCAAAATTAAAATGAAAAAGTGTGCATGTCAATACTGTTTTCTTGGCACAACATTTTAGTTTTTGGCTGAAGCATTTCTGAGTAATCAACAGTTTTATTCCAAAAAAACTGTATACTGTACCATCCTCATACTGTATAAGTACAGTACATACTTTTGTTAAATTTCATTTATTTCACCCACACTGAACACCATGATTCACTGGTTTGTTGACAAATTAATCTGAAACGTTAGTCCAGGAACTCTAAGTGCGGTGCATACTGTTCATACTGGAATGACGGGTAAAGAGAAAACAAGAGACAAGGAGTTACATCATCACTGGCCAACATTTGAAGACTGGCTTCCAGCTCAGGAAATGTGGGGCGTTCATCAAGGTCTTGCTGCCAACAATTGAGCATTACTTGGTAAAGTTCATCCCCAACATACTGAGGCTGAGGTAAGCGCAGACCACGTATGACTCTGCCAGCAACTTCTTCAGTGCGCACATCTGCATAGGGGGTTCCACCAAGAGTGGTCATTTCCCACATCAAACAGCCAAAAGACCAAGCGTCACTCTTTGGTGCCAACCCTTTGGTGCGGAGCGTTTCAACAGCATGCCACCGTCTGTAGTCTGGGACATAAAGGTCATTATGGTAGTGAAGAAGACCAAAGCCAGTAACTTTTGGGCGAGTACCATCCACCAGCACCACATTCCTGGCACAAAGCTGACCGTGGACCACACCTAATGATGCCAAATGGCTCATACCTCGAGCCACTCCTGCCAACATCTCAAGGGCCTGCCAAGACAATAGACAGTTACATCATTAATGAAATGGAAAGAGAGAATAACATTGCATGTATTCTTCCCAAAACTAGTCATTTATCATTTAATACATAACCCAACTATTTAAACATCTTTCCAAATTAAAATGATCGTTATCAAAGGCTGAAGGACCAATGATAAACACAATACTAAGGAAAATAAAAAACAAAACTGAACTCCAATGTCCTGAACAGCTAATATTACAGTACAGTTACTGCACTCAACCAACCTGTCCTTCCACAAGAGTAGAAAACCTTCGGTTCTTCTCTGCATAAACTGGGTAGTGCTGGACAGCACGACTCTCCACCAGTTGGGTTTTGAGAGTTGCTGTCTCATACTCAAAGGCCACAGAGATAATATTAAGTTCCTCCATGAGACCCACGAGAGATATGATGTGTGGATGGGAATCGATGCGTATGTGTGCATCAAATTCACGCAACATTTGCATCTTCCGACTCCTATCCAAAGTATCATCTGTAATCCGCTGAACCAGCACACTTGTCTGATTTGCTTTGTTCACGACCACACCCTGAAAGAAATTACCGGTAACATCATGATACTGTTATGACAATTAGTATTTATTTTCCTTTTCTCCCATAAGATGAATCTGATATCAAAGGAAAAACAAATACTTATTTCATACAATACAGTTTAGTACAGTATTGTTCAAGTAAAATATGCTGTTTCAAACCTAAACATACATACATACATACATACAGAGAGAGAGAGAGAGAGAGAGAGAGAGCGAGAGCGAGAGAGAGAGAGAGAGAGATACTCCATTGCATTTCTTAAAATTTCTTTATCATTTAATCATTTTTGTATTCTTTGACTTTGTTTTCATTCCTTTCTTGGTTCTACCAGAGCTAATATATTCAGTACAATTACAGCTACTTCTAGACTTACGGCTGGGTTAGGGAACCAAATCCAGGTCATAAGTCGAAAATGCGAAGATAATACATAGAAAATCTAAAATGGGTGTCTCTTTTTCTTCTCAGCACCACAAAACTCTCACTTTTAAGCCTGCCAGCCATTTTAAAGGAAATTACAAACGAAAATTTTGTCAGTACACAGCGCAATCACTAATGTCGGGACTCGAAAATACGTAATTTGAAAAAATTCTGGTACGACTGGGGCGGTCGTATGTCCAGGTGGTTGTAAGTCGAGTAGGTCGTAAGTCAAAGGGTGGCTGTAATTATTTTGTTATTTCTGTGTTTTGCTGATCTGCATAAAATAAATATAAAGCAGTATACAAGTACAACTCCTCCCCGACTTACGAACTACTCGACTTACGACCACCCGCCTCAGTCGTACCAAAATTTTGTCAAATTACGTATTTTCGAGTCCCAACTTCAGTACACAGACAAAATTTTCGTTTGTTATTCACTTTAAAATGGCTGGCAGGCTTAAAAGTGAGAGTTTTGTGGTGCTGAGAAGAAAAAGAGAGACATTTTAGATTTTCTATGTATTATTTAAGCATTTTCGACTTACGACCTGGATTTGGGTCCCTAACCCAGTCGTAAGTCAGGGAGGAGCTGTACTACTGTACAGGGTGACAAAAATACCACACATATAAAGCCTCAAAACCGGGACCCTTGGGACCTAGACTGGTTTTGAGGGTTTAGTGGTCTCTTAGGTCATCCATGTATTGTACCCCAGGCCTACCAGAACACTGTCAAGTTATGCTTCCACACAAACTCAAGCTTAACATTTCTTTTATTTCTTAAATAACAAACTAAAGGATTTTTATTGTAAGTATTCTTTAAATAAAACACTTATAATACAGTTAAATGGTTATGTTTAAGTACCACCAGCAAGAGATAGTAAAACAAATAAGATAATAACTAGATCATACAGAGAATAACATGGCATTTGCTACCACATACACTAATAATAATAATAATAATTTAATGCAGCTGAAGAGAAAGCTAATGTTACTGACAAGAAATCACCAAGCCTACAAAATTCTGGGGCAGGACTATCAACCAGCACTGCACCATCCTATCATAGGACTTTGGGCCGTATTCAGTCGTCATGCCCAATGGTGAGCCCAACCAACAGGAACCTGTAGCTCTTGTAGGGAGAGGTTATTCAAGAACATGCAGGGATCCCAATCAACTGGACAGTGCTACCAACATTTCCAAATCGGCAGGGTGGCCCACTGTTGCCACAAACCAGGCGTCGAGTACCCCAATAATCTTTCCCTAAAAAAAAATCTGTACAACATATGATCAAATGAACATAAAAGTGTTAAGAAGATATCAATGGTATATAGAAATTATTATTCTCTCGTGTTTGTGAGGTTTGTTTTGAAGGTTATATTTCTCCGGGTGTTGGCCACATGGGGACGGCTGGAGGTTGGTGTGCCACGAGTCAGCCGTCACAACACGAAGGCGGAAAGGAGCGGGAATTATGAATAGTCGTGAACATGGCATGCTGCTGTCTTCTACACAGCACAGTGCTCTAGTTAGCTTCATTCAAAAGGGAAAAATTATATAAGACAAAGCATCTGACCCTTGGAGCTGTGATAAGAAGAGAAATGCTTTGTTTGTTGATGCACGGCAGCATATTCATGATCAGCTGGGATTATTTAACACTTGTAAATAATTGACAATCTTTGATTGTATTGTATATGGAAACAAGACTTTCTGTCACCAACAAACTCATTTTCTATCAGTTTTGAATATTTCTATCTCAATATACTGTATTAAAATTTGGAGAGAGAAAATTTATTTTATATTTATCGGGACTGCCATAGAACGGGCACCCCTTCCCGATTAATTGTTCCAATGATCCCAACCAGACACCAGATCTACCAGGACTGCCTTCAGGTCTGTAGGCATTTCTGAATAACTACACATGATGGTGTTTCCAATTGGTTGGGTGGTGTAACGACTGTGAATACGGCCCTGAGTGTGACAACAAGGAGTTTCTAGCAACCTGTATCTTAAATCTTAAGTTTAATTTGACCAATATTAATTTCAAAAGCTATGTGAACATATCAGATTAATAATACAAATAAATATAAATACCAAAATATACCTATAATCAAGGTGCAGTACAGGGTATTGGACTTTGTGACAATTCTCTACAAAGTCTCTACTTCTCACAAAATTGTAAAAAATAAAAAGTTGATGGGATGTAAACAATTTCACTCAACTCTCTACCTCTAAAAAGACTGTACAGTACAGTTCCAGTGTTTATCATCATTTTTCATCTAAACTTCTAAAGTATGCTACAACAGTATTTTCTTTACTTTGTTATCTAAGAAGAAAAACAAACATTCAACTGAGTTTGTGGGGGGATATGGAAGCAAAACTTGATGCAGCGTACTGTAACAGATGGAGGAACCAGGGAAGAAAATTTAACGTAACCCAGGAATGAAAAGTCTGATTCTCAAGATTTCCCAATTTCTGAGATCTGGATTCAAGGGTCTGCACCTGTATTAATAAATATAATAGACACTCAAGATGTCTGGTCTATGAATATTCTTATGGTTTTTGAGAGGTTTTCCACTTTCTTTGTCAAAACTTAAAAACCCATTTAACATAACTGAAAGGAAGTGACTTTGGTTCCCCAAAGTTGACTCACTAAAATAAGGTTGTGTCACAGCTCCCCTGATAAAATCAAGTTAGTGTAGCAATGTCTTGTGTTAGCTAAGAATAGCTCTATGCCTCTCTGAGGGCTAAGCTGGAGCAGGTGAAGAATGAGAGGATGAGGAAGGGGCTGGAAGACTCTTGGGTAGACAAAGCTGCTGATCAAAGAAAAGTGGTGAACAGCAGTGTGACAGAGTTAGTGGTTAAAATAAAAGCAGCTAAATGTAGTAACTCGTTTTAGTCTTCTGAAGGAGGAATTAGATGAAAACCTTAATACAGTACTGTAGTTGGGATTCTCATAAAGATACATGTATCATACTTTGAGTGACAAAAGATAAGAGTAACAGGATGAGGGAGTTTGCCAAGAGATGGGGTGGGAGAAATAGAAGATACAATGGACAGTAACATGTCTGGTAATGGGAACAAACCCATTACCTACCACATTCAGGAGGTAACGATATTGACAATGTACTGTACTAGGTAAATACTGTACAAGGTATTCTGCCAAGAAGGGGAGTTGGCAGTAAATGGTTGTCCTGGGCAGTGGGTATGAACGGACAGCTGGACAAATATTGCAAGGCAATATCAGTTCCATTTGTTGACAATTGGGGCAAATTCCATGGAAGATGAGACCTGTATGCAAATCAAGACCAAACAAATAACAATGGTTTTAAATTAATTCCAATTTAAAAAGTAATTTGGTAAACTTTGCTTCAGAAAAAAAAAGTTGTGGATGACTGGAACAAGTTACCATACATCATCATTAGCTTGCACTCACTGGGTAGTTTCAAATATTGATTCAACAGACACACAAGTGATAAAGGTTAGGTATAAGCAGGGCTGCTTATTATGGCCTACTGCAGTTTCCTTCATTCTTATGTTTTCAATAGACAGGAATGAATACCTAGAATCAGGCAATGTGTGGTACACCACTATAGGGTGTTGATCTGAGGATATGGCAAAAGACGTGTAATAGAAAATATGCAAATTCCTTACTTTTTTAAGCACTGATGCAATCACGAAAAATTACAGCCACCAATTAAACAAAAATAAGAAATTTCTTATATGTACTGGTAAATCAGTACAGTACATATGACACACTCAACAGCATGCATTAAATCTTTTAGATAGTTTGTGGCTAATATATTTACAGAGACAATATTAGACTAAAGGTAGCCTCAGAGAAACAAATAAAGGTTGAGAACTGTAAAATATAAAATAGCTACAACACACACTTTAATTTATGGTTTAATTCTATAGAACTTGCATGAAGCTATGAGGAATTTCAATCACAAAATCTTCATTCATAGTTACCTTTCTTACTTCTCCAAATCTACCAGTTCCAATATCTCCCACAATGTTGAGCCCTTGGTGGGGGATAATCAAAACTCGCTCCTTCAGCTGGCGGTAGTGGTCAGTTGGGGCCATCTCCTCGTCCACATAGTGAGCGCCGACTGCATACCCATTTTCTACATCCTGATATGGTTGTTGTGCATGGATTGCCAACTCCTGATTTTCCGAAGATCGACGATTTTTCTTGACCACTACTCTCAGAGCTACATATAACACAATGGAGGCAATAAGAAGGAAGCCAAAGAGACCAATAGCAATGGACAAGCCTAAAATCAGCTTCCTGTTGTTAGCCAACTGAATATTTGTTTGAGAATATTCACCTCTCTTTATAAACTCATCAAGTACACTACTCTCATGTTGTTCATGATTTGAGACTGAATACGATGCCTTTGTTTCGTTAATTGTACTTATAACCCCGAGTAATATGTGATAGTCTACTCCTTCTTTTAATGGAGCATTGTAGTATTTACCATAATGTTTTCTGTCACCTACTTTGAACGTTGTCACAAAATTATCAGCGGAAAACTGAGCCGTTATATAATAGGGGATGCCTTTTTCTGTAGCTCCTCTATAATCTTCAAGTAATTGTGGCTGGAGCTCTACACTAACCGTTTCATCGACGACTACAACTTGATAAGCTGTAACGGGACCATTGGTTGGAGGGACAGACTGGAGTTGAACAGTCATAGCGTTAGGGGTTCTACTAATAATTTGGGGAGGTGCAGGAGTTTCAGGTTTTCCTACTTTTGTCCACATATCCCTGGACTGAACATACCCTAGACCAGCAGCTGAAGCAGCTTTGACTTCTACTGAATACTTTGTACCAGGCTGTACACCATGAAGCCAAGCAGTGTAAGTCTGGGCAGAAAACACCCACTTCATGGGTCTGGGTGGGTCTCTCTCACTATAGGTAAAAATGGGAATGGCACTGACATGATATTCCAGAATTTCTGAGAGCCCTCGAGCAGGTGGTTCCCAGTTAATGTGCAAGCTAGAAGGTTTACTGTCCACCTGCGTGAGAGACACCGGGGCACCGAGGATGTCATGACCCGTTTCATACACACTCATCACTCCAGCACCACCACATATCTGTGTGGAATTTGCTGAACATTTAGCCGTGCACAAATCTGATGGGTTACCACTAAATGTGTCTCCACATAAACACTTATCCCCATTTAATAAGCCAGCATATCTCATCGTTTTTGATCTGCACTCTTCAACACAGGCAGTCACACTCGTTCCGCTTGATGCATTGGAAGAATGGTATATAAAATCATGTCTCTTCTCCTCCTCTGTGAAGCACCCCAGAGATATGTCTTTTGCTGGTACTGGCAAGTGGCAACAACAAATTACTATTGCTGCCACAAGCAAGGCTCCTCTACTCCTCCCCATCTGTAAAGTGCAGTAATCTTAACAAACAGTGTCCATGTTAAAAAATATGAATAGTGAAAATACATAAAACATATATAGTTATTTGCAACATTTTTTTTTCACACAAGACAAAAGATTCTCAGATCCTAACCTAAAGAATTTTGGACATTTAATAAGCACTTGTTCCCATCTATAATTTTATTTAAGTTTGTAATAGGAACAGAAAATTATTTTGGCATCACTGAATCAGATTGTATCCACATTTCCAACAATCTAGCCATGGAAGACGTGTCCACTACAGTACACTGAACCCTCCTGGTGATGTTCTAGTCATGAAATCCTTCATCCTCCTTCAACTGGCTGAAATACAAAGTTAAATACCATCCACAAGGTGAGGCTCTATTCATAGATGCTATGCTCCCAACAGTAAACTTGAGTTATTTATACAGGACAACTTCAGCTTTTGGACAAACACTCCAACTAATTTCATCTATGGGAAGGGACCCAGATGATCCCCGAGATACCTGCAAAAGTAATTTGTTACCCATAAACCAGGGTTTCCTCTGCTGTATTAGAGCAATCAAAGGAAGGCAAGCTAACATGCACTGTCAACTTCCGAGGGCTCAAAATTCCATATGCTTTCGTAACAATGTAATAAAGCATCACCTCATACTGCACCATGTTAACCCCACTTGTGTAAGGGGTCCTCTCCCTCCTGCATAAAATCAGTGAAGAGATTAACCAGGCACCTAAAGAAAAATCTATGTAAAGGAAAACTTATTTCTCACCTCAAGAATAAACCTAAACTAACTTTCATCCTAGGATAGGTAGGTTAGGTAGGGTTTTGTTGGTTTTGCGTACGTATCTACTATAAATCAAATATCGTAACATTTGCTAGAAGTGTTTGTGTTTGGAAAGGACGCTGGAAAGCGTTAGGTTAGGTTAATTTGGGTAGGTTAGGCTAAGTTAGGTAGGTTAGATTAACTTAGGTATGCTAGGTTAAGTTAGGTAGATTAGGTTCTTAGGTTAGGTTAAGTTAGATTAGGTTAAGTTAGGTAGGTTAAATTTAGTTAGGTTCACAGAAGAGGTTATAAGAAATAAACTGTCAAAGCTAAAGGTCCATAAGAGTCCCGGCCCTGACATGGTACATCCCAGAGTGCTAGGAAAGTTGTGCAAAGAGCTTGCTGAGCTCCTGAAGATCCTGTTCTGTAAATGCCTGGATGAACAAAAGGTCCCCAGTGATTGGAAAATGGCTTATGTGAGTCCTATCTTCAAGAAGGGCGATCTTCACTCCACGAACAACAATAGACTGGTGAGCCTGACCAGCATAGTATGTAAAGTGCTTGAGAGTATTATAAGAGATGTCACGATGGAACATCTACTGCGAAACAACCTTGTATGGGATTGCCAACACGGTTTTAAGCCGGGGCGCTCCTGCTTAACACAATTACTCAAGGTACTGGATATTTGGACCCATATTCCGGAACAGGGTGGAAATATTGACATTATATACCTAGATTTTGCCAAGGCTTTAGACAGCGTACACCATGAAAGGCTGAAAATTAAACTGGAAGGGTACGGGATTCGGGGAAAAGTTCTTGTGTGAATTAAGACTTTCTACATGGCTTCAAGCAGTGTGCGATGATTAATGGTACGAAATCATCATGTGTACCCGTCACAAGCGGGGTACCACAGGGCAGTGTATTGGGCCCACTGTTGCTTGTTTGCTTGCTTCATAAATGACATGCCTGACACTGTACATTCCTCCATACAAATGTTTGCGGATGACGCCAAGTTATTTTGGGAAATTAAAAACCAAGCAGATTTGTGAAGAGCTGCAGAAGGATCTCTGTGGGCTCCAAGAATGGTCAAGAAATGGCTCTTAAGATTCAATGCACCTGGGACGTAGCAAAGGTAAGGAGGCGTATCATATGTCCCAACAGGACGAAGAAACTGCATTAATTGAGACTGAATGTGAAAAGGATCTAGGTGTGTACGTTGATAATGAGCTGAAGTTCTCGGGCCATTGCGAGAAGGTAAATCAGGCAACTAAATTGTTAAGTCTTATAAGAAGGTCGTTCAGATATCTAGACCGTCCGTCCTTCGTAACAATCTTCAAGAGTGAAGTGCTTTCCTGTCTGGAGCATTGTCACCCCGTCTGGTCCCCAAGATATGCTAGGAACTGTCAGTTGATTGAAAATGTCCAAAGGAGGGCCACCAGACTGGTGCCTGCACTTCGGCACCTCAGCTACCTTGAGAGATTGGAGCGCCTGAACTTGCCTAGTTTATACTACACACGGGCAAGGGGAGACCTAATTGAGGTGTATAAGCATCTCAAAGGGCACTACTCAGTCGAGTGCCCTTACCTGGAGCTGGCGGACGCTCACCCCACAAGGGGTCACAGATCAGGGTTGAAGAAGCCGCAAGCCCAGAAAACTGTGAGTTGTAACTTTTTCGGAATGAGAGTTGTAAACTCTTGGAACAATCTGCCAGAGAGTGTTGTGACGGCACCGAGTGTGAGCTCTTTCAAGACAAGACTTGACCAACACTGGAGCAGGTTCAGGTACATTGAGGAGCAGGTGCATGCTCAGTACTTGCCAACAGTGCGTAACAGAGACGTGACCGATCGCCCAAGCGGCTAACGAGCCGATCAGTGGTGAAGAGGATAAGTGTAAAAAAGTAAAAAGTAAAAGCCATGAATCACCTGTTAGCGCCTCAACGGTCCATTGTTGGTGACTTAACTGCACCACCTTCTTCTCGACCTATTTATCATGTCAAAACACTAATACTTTGTCCTCATATTCGTTCACAATACTGTAATGAATGCAGGCATACCTTTTAAGTTGCCAAAATGTCTCAAATCCCTTCCATATCTGTCATGAAGGTTCCCGAGGTACCACACCTGCTTGACACAAACAATCGCTGCTGCCAACATTTCTAGACTTTGATCAATTTTAGGAAATACAGCGCATCTACGAATTTTCTATAAAAACATTTAATTTTAGTATAAGTGTTTAAATTTTCATAAAATAATTTCAAATATATTTTGTCCATAAACTATAACTGACAGATAAATTGCACAAAGTTGTTGGTACAATGAGTGGCGGGAATGTTTGAACATGTATGAGAGAAATACTTCCAAGAAAATGTGTTACTTTCAAGTGAGAAAATTGTACTAGCTCACTTGGACACACGTTAACACGGACCAGAAGTCACGCAGCTCTTATAAGAACAGCAAAGTAAAAAGGTAAAAACAAGTACAAAGCCTTTCAATTCTATTCCTAGAGTAACTTCATAAAAAAAAAAAAAGACATTGATATACTCATCTTTGCAAGGTAAAAAAGTTATAAGCAAGAAGATAGAACTTTTCCATGAAGCCAACATTATTTACTTTGCATTAAATTCATTTCACCACCTCCCAGCTTACTAGCATTTCGAGCTGTTGGTCCGTTCATTGGGGTTCAGAATATACAGGAACCTACGCCAGTGGTGGTCAAGCATTAGCTCACACTCCTTGCCATCACAACACTGACAGATAATATTAATCTAAAAAAATTAATGTAACTTAACTTTCACCTAACGTATCAGTTCACTAACCTAACCTTACCTGATGTGACCTTCATTTAACAAAACCTTAACTTAACTTTTAACCTATTATATCATTAACTTAATAAATACTAACTCATATGACTTCACATTTATCTAACCAAACCTTATCTTGACCTTAACCTAACGGTCAATTTATAGTAGAAAACATAATTCGATATTGTTTGTTTTTTATAATGATAAGATCAGACAAAAACAAGACGATTTTCATCTGATACTTTTGGCGCATTTTACCCATAACCGAGATATTGGGAGATGAAAATCAGAAAATTACTGGAAAAGCTATTATTGCATTTGTTGCCATCAACCTGGGGATGGTGGACGCCCGGCCCACAAGGAGTCACAGCTCAAGGTTGAAGAAGTCACAAGTCCAGAAAATTGAGGGTAAACTTTTTTGGGAGTGAGAATTGTAAACTCTTGGAATAATCTGCCTGAGAGTGTTCTGACGGCAACGAGTGTGAACTGTTTCAAGGCCAGACTTGACCAACACTGACACATGTACAGGCGAGGTAGGTAGATAACCTACCTTGGTACTGGTACATCCTGGAACAAGAACTTGTCAACAGTGCATGAGGCGTGACCGAGCGTCCAAGTGGCTAACAAGCCGATCAGTGGCGAAGAGGATAAAAGTACGAGATGAAAAATACGGCGTTGTGGAATGATGTGTAAAAATTCCATAGATAAAAAAAAAATTGAAAAATTGCATCGGCCAAATTTGAAGTCTGGATCTGCTTCAGTATTTATCCAGAGCCGGTTGTATTTATACAGAGCTACCTGTATTTATGCAGGGCCACCTGCATTTATACGGGGACGCCTATATTTATACAGGGACGCCTGTGTTTATACAGAGCTGCCTGTATTTATGTGGGGCCACCTGTATTTCTGCAGGGCCACCTGTATTTATGTGGGGCACCTGTATTTATACAGAGCCACCTATATTTATGCAGGGCCGCCTGTATCTACACGGCCGGTGTAGCAGTTAAAAGTGAAGTCTAGGTAAAAATGAAGTGTTTGCCCAACATATCGTACGGCACTCCCGGCAGAACGCTCTTAGATTCCGTGGTGAGCAGAGCTGGTGAGTGGCATTATATTCGACATCCATGCGTTTGGATGTACACGTATAATAATTCAATTAATTAAGATGTACAGTGGGGTATGCTATAACGAACGGATCCTACTACGAATATTCCTATAACGAACGGTTTTACCTATAAAATTGAGAATGCTATAACGAACGAAACTCCTACAACGAACATTATTTATTTATTTATTTTTTTCTAATTTATTGTTTTTTTATTACAAATATTAATGATATTCTTTATTTCAGGGGTTTAGATGCATATTTATGCACTTTTTACAATTTTTACAATTTTATATTATATTTTTCAGTGTTAAGTGGTTGTATTTGGGGGCCTGGAACGGATTAATCCTATAACGAACAAGGTTCTAGAACCAATTAGATTCGTTATAGCATACCCCACTGTAAAGAAACAAATTCTTTTATTAAAAAAAAGTTTTATTTCCACAGCTGATGATCTACTGGCAGATACCAGATTTTCAAACGGTCATATATGGAATTGTTAGATTCCTGTATGCATATTTATTTAAATCAATACTGTATAGAAATGAATAAAACCAATGAACTGTACATTATTAATATATTAATACCTTACCAAAGGAGATCTCTCCAGATATTAAAACAGAAGCTGCACCGTAATATGAAAGGATTGTTCATTCTTCTGTGGATAATTATTGGGCCAAATTATTCCGCTCATGTTATTTTGGTCTGCATCACATAACAGTTTACGTTAATAATCTCTGCTGACATCTTGTTTCTCTTGGAACTCTTCACTGTGTGATACAAAACAATAGAAACTATATATTCAGTTGTTTTGAATTACAGTACATTAAAATAAATCTGTGTCTGCTGACATTTGAGTTTACTGTAATTGAATATAGTCAATTAAAAAATGTTGCACACATTAATTAGTAAATAACTCTGTGCTAAGAAATGGAATCTGTTCAGATTATTGTAATTAATGTAAATAATTAAAGTATTTCAACACCTTCAGCTGTGACAACGGTCCGAGTGGCAGGTAGCACATGTTAAATACCACACACTACATGTGGTAGCACATGTTAAATACCACACACTACATGTTAAAGGCAAGTCCTGGAGTGTGTGTCTGTGTCAGGACAAGTTGCTGCAGATTTATTAGTTCATTGCACAATAATGCCAGTTATATAATTCCCAGATCAGTCTGCCGGGCACTAAATGGCGATACATTATTCTTAATAAAGTCCAGCTGAGCTCTCGTAGTGTCACCTGGGTTGCAGATAACTATTTTCATCCAGTTTCTTGAGCTTTAAGAGTGACGTTAAGGACCTTAACGTCACTCTTGAAGCTCAAGACAACTGCTTACTATTCTGGTGGTCCTATACTCCTATAGTATTTGTATTTATTTTTTATGTATATTTTTAGCCCTTATGAGCTTACTAGCGACTCGGGCAGTTGTATTCATTCTTTAGCAAGAGTTTTATTGTGTATATAATGTGCTTTATTTATTAACAGCTTTTAGGAGTAGTATTAGAATTTTGAAAACGATCGTATTTTTATTATTAACAATGTCATTATTTTATGCCGTCAGTCCATTACTTTACATATGACGTCTCAATAAGGTTTTACAAAGACAATTTCGACTGTTTTATTGATCTTAATTGGGAATTCATCAGTGGTGGGCACAGCTAAACGAAAAGCTAGCTTCGCTAACTAAAAAGTTAACTTTGCTCACGCTAAACAGCTAAAAAAATTAGCGTAAGCTAACACTAACCGCTAACTTTTGTTATATGAATTTAGCTTAATTTTTTGGGGGGGCTCTAAAACCCTTAAAAACAGACCTAGAGAGCTGAAATACTCATATGTTGTCTTGTGGCTTAGACATAGAGCTTTCCAAAAAGGTATAGCATGCCAAGATCAGATGATGATCAAGGTGTACACAAATAATTAAATGAAAAAATTAAATTAAACATTAGTTTATATTCAAGTTTCAACATACACTTTAAAATCTTTATTTACTGTACGAAAAGACAGAAAGTAATAAACGAATCCAAAAACTATAGTACTGTATAGCATAGGTAGCAAATAGCATCATGCCAAGATCAGATGATGATCAACTTATCAAGGTGTACATTACACAATTTCACAAATAATTAATTTGCATTCTCATACAACCTATTGGCCTTATTCATTATTCATGTAAATGTGCAATACCAACCACATACACATTATACCAGTGCACTTTTATATGACTTATTGTTGGTCTTAGTCATGTAAATAAATCATGTCTTGTCACGTTTACACGTACAGTACTAACATGCAATCAGCCAAGCGTGCCTGACTGGCTGTTGGAGACACAGGTCGCGGCGTCACACGCTTACAACAGACGGGAACAAACATATATAAATTTTGTTAGCGGAACTAAATTTAGCGGAAGCTAATTGGTCCGCTAATGGTTTCCAGTTAGCGAAAATGCTAATCCGCTAACGAGAAAGTTAGCTTCGCTAATTAGCGGAACCGTGCCCACCACTGGAATTCATCACATGTTCAGTAAAAATACATCATGGATACTAGAGTTCAGCACTTGGAGGCTTTATTAATACATTATGGATACTAGAGTTGAGCACTTGTTGGCTTTATTAATACATTACACCAGAAAACAAGAGAAACAATATTTGTAATATAATCCCATAATACAATAAAGTACACATTAGGGTATGAACTACAGATACAAGATTATTATATGGTACATAATATAATAGAACTAAGAGGGTAACACAAGAAGCCAGAGATGTCTGGGGTCTGGTTGTATTAGGGTGATTAATCTAAAGGTTTATTCACTGAAATTTTAATATCTAAAAAAACTTTACAAATAATGGTGCTACTGTAGTATGTGTTCTACAGAGCTGGAGCTACTGTAGTATGTGTTCTACAGAGCTGGAGCTACTGTAGTATGTGATCTACAGAGCTGGTGCTACTGTAGTATGTGGTCTACAGAGCTGGTGCTACTGTAGTATGTGGTCTACAGAGCTGGTGCTACTGTAGTATGTGGTCTACAGAGCTGGAGCTACTGTAGTATGTGTTCTACAGAGCTGGAGCTACTGTAGTATGTGTTCTACAGAGCTGGAGCTACTGTAGTATGTGATCTACAGAGCTGGTGCTACTGTAGTATGTGGTCTACAGAGCTGGTGCTACTGTAGTATGTGGTCTACAGAGCTGGAGCTACTATAGTATGTGGTCTATCGAGCTGGAGTTGTGTCTACCAGGATATTTACACTGTAGCATCCATGAACCTAGGTTATGTTATGTTAATGGATGTTTTAGTGTAAATATCCCAGTAGACACAACTCCAGCTTGGTAGACCCCATACTATAGTAGCTGCAGCTCTATAGACTGCATACTACAGTAGCTCCAGCTCTGTAGACTGCATACTGTAGAAGCTCCAGCTCTGCAGACTACAGTAGCTCCAGCTCTGCAGACTGCATACTACAGTAGCTCCAGCTCTGCAGACTGCATACTACAGTAGCTCCAGCTCTGCAGACTGCATATTACAGTAGCTCCCAAATAACAATATCAGCATCTACAGTATTTGGAATTTTTTCAATCATCTTTTGGTGTTGTCTGGTGATGATGTAGCCTCTGTCATCTGGTGGTGGTGATGTAGCCTCAGTCATCTGGTGGTGGTGCAGCCTCAGTCACCTGGTGTTGGTAATGTAGCCTCAGTCACCTGGTGTTGGTGGTGGTGATGTAGTCTCAGTCATCTGGTGGTGGTGGTGGTGATGTAGTCTCAGTCATCTGGTGGTGGTGGTGATGCAGCCTCAGTCACCTGATGTTGGTAATGTAGCCTCAGTTACCTGGTGTTGGTGGTAGTGATGTAGTCTCAGTCATCTGGTGTTGGTGGTGGTGATGTAGTCTCAGTCATCTGGTGTTGGTGTTGGTGGTGGGAATGTAGCCTCAGTCGCCTGGTGTTGTCTGGTGATGATGTAGCCTCTGTCATCTGGTGGTAGTGATGTAGCCTCCTTTCACCTGGTGGTGGTGGTGATGCAGCCTCAGTCATCTGGTGGTGATGTAGCCTCTTGTCATCTGGTGGTGGTGGTGATGTAGCCTCAGTCATCTGGTGGTGGTGGTGGTAATGTAGCCTCAGTCACCTGGTATTGGTGGTGGTGACGTAGTCTCAGTCATCTGGTGTTGGTGGTGGTTATGCACAAGTGTTTCTGTGTTCTGGTGTTAATCTACCTGCCTGTTGTTTGCCTGTACACTGATACCGATCGTTGGGAAATTACCAGACTGGCGGGACAGCCAGTGGTAATTTGACAACACCTGTGAGATATCTACTGCTTCTGTACATACGACCCTCAGCCGCTGGTAACCGGTGGTGGAAGCTGGGTAAGCGGTGAAAGGAGAGTCGTAACAGTATTTTGCTTGAAAAAAATTTATGTACACAAAATGATTTTAGTTCCTCATAATAAGAACAAGCTGCAAAACAAAATTTATCATAGTACACAGTGCTGTATCTAAATTAATATTAATCATACTTACCGGTAGTTTGAAATCGGAAATACTGTACAGTAATAGCAATTATCATTCTTGAAAGATTTTAGAAGTCCTGTACCTGTACTGAAATTTTAATTAAAGTGTGAAATAAATAATTATTAAAATTCCCCAATAACTATGAGTACGTATATAATCACAGTATCACACTACTGTATATTGAATATGAAATTTCTAGCAAAAAATATGATGAATCTATTTGTTTTCACAAGAAAACAACAAAATCATAACAAATGTTATAACATGAAAAAACAGTAAACAGAGAGAGATAGAAAGAAATCACAGTTTATACATTATCAATTACAACACTCATGGCAAAGTCTACATAATTTAACTAATTTGCCCACAGACAGAGGTGGAATTATGGCTGCACTCTTGACATATGCCACTGGTCAACAACTCTAATGCTTGTTCAAAATACATTATGCACAGATTGGGCTGATAATGTATTGTACATACTAGTGAAGGCCTTAAAGGCCTCCATTCAGTTCTTGCGTACTGTCCTTAATAAAGGCATTGAAGCATTCAATCCTCTTGTTCACCTGCTTCCTTTTCTTCTCCCCATGAGGATGTTGATACTGCTGTTGGTGGCACGGGTGATCCTGATGTTGGATCAGTTGATCCAAGTGTTCCTGCTGGTGCAGACGCTGGCATAATTAGTGGTGGTGTCTGCCTTCTCCCTTGAAGAGGAACTTTTATCTCCACGTTTCTGCTTCAATTTTGGCATGCAGATCGACCTGGTTTGTTTACATTTATCTTGGATAAGGTATACCAACCCTCTCGAATTGCAGCATTCAATGTTACTAAATAGTAACCCGATGTTCGAGTTTACTCAAACTTTGCAATTGCGGCCTCGAGTCAGTTTGTAGCAAGGCAGCAGATTGGCTGGTAAACAGACACACAAAAAGTCCTTTATATATCTTGAGTATTTAATCTGTTATAGTTATATTCTGATATTCTAAGGGATAATAACTTCTGCGTTGATCACTGATAATAAATGCATCTGGGAGAAGTAAAAATTAGTATGTTTAATGCTCCGATAATAAAAATATCATTAAGAGAACACGTACAAGTTCATAGAATTAAACTGTTCCTTGCCCCCTGACGAAGGATGTTGCTGAAATATTGTACTCTTTTCTTTGGCAGTTGTTGGGTTAAAGGTAGTTATCTCTTGATAACACTGACAACTGTTATCATTACTGTTATATAGTCTTCATTACTAAAACCATCATTTTCAATACTGTTTTTATGAAAACAGCATGAGTACTCTATGCATCATTCTGGAACTTCAGAGAAAATTTTCCTGTTACCCGGAAAATTCCAGGGATGAGGGATTTTTTCCCGGCTTTGAGAGTATTCTCATTACCCGGAATCTCTCATTCTCGGAAATGCTCTGCACCAATTGTTCCGGCTAACAGAGATACCACTGTACCTATTCGTTGCTTGAAACCGTTGTATAGCCTAGTCATCTGTAATATCTAGTGGCCATATTAATAAATTGAAAACCTCTACACATGTACGTACACTTGTATTCACTGATTTACAGTAATAGCTTGGGGAGAGAGAATAATGATAATTACGTATGATCATTAAAGAAAATTATATTGTATATTGTATTCCTTCAGCCACCCCAGTAAATGGCTAGCCCATATGCCTGATTACTAAATTGGTTTTACACTGATACTGGCAGCAAAATAATAAAGAGAGGAAGAGGAGGGTTGTTAATAATAATACATTTTTAATAATATGAAGAGTAATATCATAAAAATAATGATTACATGAGAAGTCCAAGTGGTTAACTGAAAGATATTGTGTTAGGGGATGAGAAAATCAGAATAGATGGCAAGAATATCTTTTAATACAGTGGGGTGGTCTGACCCAGGATAATATGAGTCCTCTCTTATTACAGTTTTCTTCCATTACACACCAATGATGCCACATAAGCAGCTTCACCCATGCGCGTGAGTAGACTTGGTTTAATTAGACTTTGATTGTACTATCAGAATGAGTGAGAGAGGATGGTGAAATTATGATTTAGGTGGTGATAATAGAGGTAGTGGTGGTGATCATGGAGCTGGTGGTGAGAAAGCAGAAAGGTGACTTACCTTTTGTAATAGTAGAACAATCTTTCATTAATTGGCAAGTGGGTAGTAAAAGCTTGCTTTCGTTATAGTGTAGATTCGTTCAAAGGTTTAATGTTCAGTGTGGACTTACTGTACTCCAAAATTGCCGTCTGCATACTCAATCCAACAGTCAGCCAAATATTTTGGAAATAAAACACTAAATTAAAGCTTCAGTGATCTGCATTTTACCTAGAGCAACCTAACATTACAAACATTCACTATCAATCTACAACATATGGCACCTCTGTACTTTCAACATAATCTATGTCAGTTCATGACCTACTTAATGACTGACATGTGCTGAAACTAAATACTAGCCATACATGATATCACTTGTAAAATATGAGACTCTTCAAACTTCTGACATGCAACAGAAAATTAAATATATATCAATACAACAAATAGTGAGTACTTAACCTTCCACTGCCTAGATAATTTGCACCTTGACTGATCACAGTTCTCATACATTTCAGTGAAATTATTCCACTACTGCAATTAATGAAGACTATCTAGAGATGTGGCTGGATTATTCTATCTCTGAGAAACATGTTTAAAGTAGTGGATGAAACGTCAAATACTTTATGGTCTTAAATGCATTGTATCATATAAGGGGTTCCAAATGCAAAATAATCTAAAATGTGGAATAAACAAGAGGGAATGTGATAGAAAGTAGGCAAAAATGTAACACACTTGCCTACCAATGTGCATAATCTAAACAATTCATGTGATACCAATAGCTATGTGATTCATACCAGTGAAGAACCATGTGTCATACCTCACTTTACATGTTCCATTAAAGAACATTAAATCCTAACCTATAACAAAATACAACACCAAGATTTTGGAAATAATGCAACTGGCCATTTAACAAAGTTATGTAATACAATACCCTCATCATGATCACTGATGCTTGTATGCTGATGACCTGGCCACAATTTTTATTTAACTGTGAATAAGCCATACAAATCTTGGCTATACAGGTATTTGAAAGTTGTACTGTACTGTATAATAAATTACATGTATTGATGAACTGCAAAATGTACTCCTATGAATTTGCAACTACTGTATAAACGATAATTTAGAAATATTTACATAAATTGTCATTATTAACGCTGGTTTTGCAACCCTAACAGGCATTGTATAACTGCAAAATTGCATAATCATGAATCCGTTAAAATTCAATAATGGAAACAATTTTTTGTGGTGCAACAGATCACTATTTTTTGGATACTTCTACCCCATAAAAAATCAGGCTACAGCCCTAAAAACAGCATCCATTCTACACAAAAAAGCTTTATGGATTAAAAGTTTAAAGATTTATTTGAGTTTGTGCAACATATTTATTACTGGCTGTGGATAAGTTTGAGATTCAGCCGATTGCCTAGGCTGGTGGAGGACCGTTGCTCAACTTCCTTAAAACTGCCAGTAAATCACTGAATTCTTGATAGAGATCTCAATAATAACTACAAAAAATTAACTGATTATTTTCTCACTAAATATGAACTGTTGCCTACAAAACAGTATTAGAAATCCAGTCAATTGATAAAAATAACTGTTTTGGTAACTACTGTTCCCATTACTGTGACGAACTACTACAACACTTTAATCTAATAACACATCTTGTCAGGGTATATGGCATTCATTTATAATTATTTCTTTTGCTTTGTTCAGTGCTTTAGCTTGTCCTGTCAAGAAAAGTCAATTGAGTTATGTGTCAATTAGTACTTCACTAGATAAAAGTCTCATTCAGCTCATAGTTTTATGTCCACTTCTGTGATGCCAAAAAATTTTGGCCAGTGCATTTATGTTATGACTAATGTTTATTATTCAGTACTGTACACAAAGAATGAATTTCCTTTTGAAATACTCAAGAGAAAGATGCTCTGAAAGAAGACCTCTCTACATTTGACATAATGCAATCAATAGATCCACCAATGCTGAGATAATGGAATGCTTGCCTAGTGGGTGTAAACCCAAATTTTTGGTGCAAAAATGCATTCAAATGGGGGTGGGAAATCATGAACAAATTAAACAAAAAAGTCCCATATTTGTTTGTCATTTATGTGAAGTGCACAGTAACAAATCACATACCCTGTATTAACAAGGCTTTGTTGTAGTTTCACTAAAATGCCAGCTCCACTGAGACAATGTATGAAACAGACCAACATTTGAGCACTTTTGACTTGTATTTATGAAGTTTACACTAAAATAATTTCCCCACAAAGTTAATGATATACTGTATAATTCAACTTGATAATGCTATATTGTACAGGTATTCAAAATACTGTCATTCAGTTTACATATCTTTAACTGAAAGAAAATATCAGTAACAACTAAATGCAATTTTTACTGATCTATTTTACAAGCAGAGGAAGAGATTAAAGAAGATTAAGAGGAAATAATTTTTTTTACATGAGTATATACATGTACTGTAGTACAGTATTACATGCATTGAGATTCTGCTTTAAAAGCCAGTTAAAGGTTTACACATTTCATAACCTTGATTCGCCTCCTTCAAGTTCTTGTATTCTACAATACAAACAGAGAAATATCTATACTGTATGGTACTTACAAGTAACTTACATAATTATGAAATCATGACTGGAGAACACCAATTAAAAGCTCAAGTAGTATAAATAATAGTGCTTCACCTTAAGCTTTAAATTACTCACTTTTACAATACTGTACAGTACTTGTAAAACTTTTAGGCAGATATTAATCATTATCAGTAAATAGTGAGTACAGTCACCTAATGCTTTATTATATACATAATCAACACTTTTCTCAGACAGAGACCCTTGGAAGAAGTATAAACAAACAAAATACATGTAGTGTATAGGAAAGGTACTCCAATAATGCACAACTCAGATGGCCAACTACGAGTTATGATTAAACCACCAATAATACTCTTAGGAACATGCTGATAATTTTCGTGATAAATATTTCAAGCACCAGTGCTAAAATAAAATCAAGATATGCATACATGAACACAAACCATATAACAGTAGATTATTATAATGCATTGTAGTTTTGAGCACATGGCCTTCTGAATTCTTGTCCACGTTCATGAATCCATTTATTGGATACTGGAAAGAAGAAAATTTCAATGAGACAGTATTTCTAAGGTTTCTACTGTACAAGAATATTTGGATAAAGTGTTTGCATTAAGAACTATAAATGAAAAATACCTGGTGAAATGGAAGAATGTGTGTACACTAATTCAATCTAATCTGTCTGTGTTTCAAATTCTTGCAAGCACATCCTTTACTATGTAGAAAAACAACTACCCATTTAAATATATAACAATGAGTAAAACTGGCAGCTCATTATATGAAAAAATGCAATATCTTGTTCTAATAGTAATAATTTTAAACACATCAATACTTACCCCACTTGGTGCCGACCAACACTGGACAAGCTGCATGCCGGGTCAGTGTGTCACCCTCCCCACTTGGGTGAAGATTGTACCAGAATGCAGCAGCACCCTTCTTGGGCCAGAGTGACAGGTTGAGATAGGGGAATACTGTAGCACCACCGGCCTCCACATCACTCATCTGTGTGGGTAGGTAATTACAGGTCAGTGTTGTCCAGATAGGAAAACTCAATTGAGAAAAGCCTGTGAAATAGTTGATGTACAATATTTTCTATTCTTAAAATTCAAATACAAGTTTCAATAAGTATTTTGTTGATAGAATAATTTCTTTGAGAAATTCATAAACTAAATTTTGCTTTGTCAAAATTATTTTACAATGATCTACTTTATTTTTATTACATATAACAAGTACGATTACAATTATGATTAATAGTACTATTCTTGAGGGTAGAAATATGCAATGTACAGTATAAGTTGACAAGAAGCACAAGCAGTGTCTGACCTTTAATTAGTAGAAGGAAGATTAACAATGAATGGGAGGTTCAGATTGAACCTCAGAGCAGCAAGAAGGTGATTACATAAAGTCACTGAGCTGAGTAATATGTAGTGAGATTTAGAGAAATAACCAAAACAAGGTTAACAGGTGTCAATGGGAGTGGATGGTGTACGAAGAGTGACAACATATGAGAAGTCTAATAAAAAAAAAAATACAGTACAAGAAAATGGGAAACATAAACAAGAGAAAAGGAGTGAAAAGAGGATAGTAATGGCCATGAAGGAGAATAGTGAGGTATATGAGCACCAGTTGCAAGAAAGATGTGACAAAGGAAGATGTACTGTATATGGAGATTTAAAGAAGATTGAAATAATGGTTACAGAATGGAAAATATGAAAAATAGGTGGAAAGATTGTCATAAGGTTTTAATGAGAACAAGCTGTTTTAAATAATGAAAAAAAAAATGTGAAAATGGCAGTTAATAATGAGAAAAGGGGTACTGTATACTGCAGAAAATAGAAGTACTATATACAGATAGGGAGAATAATTTGAACAACAAACATAATATTAGAGATGTGGATCTATCCTGCTTAGTACATGGTGGACTGAAGAGTGTTCAACAAAGGAAAAATTACTGAGGAGAAGAGAGGGAGGTGATGAGAATTTCTGTAAACACGGTAAGCCCCGAGAGTGGATGGAATCACTAGAAATACTAAGGCACGGAGGTGAAGGAAGGATAGCATGGGTAACAGTATATACCTGTACAAGCATTGTTTGACTGATGGACTGACACCTATTATGAGAGCATGTATGACTTTCTAGCATAAAAAGGAATGCCATTAATGTGAAACTTATGGAGAAATGTCTGTCAAGTGTATCTCTGTATGTATAAAGTAGTTTTATGGAGATAATTGCTGCCAAAACTTGAGGAAGATCAAGTAAAATCGGCTTTAAAAAATATAGCAAAATTAGTGTGTATTACAGGAAGGGAATTGTAGATCAAACATTTGTAGAAGGGAAATAACTATTTTTTTGTGGCTATGAATCTTGGATAAGCACATTAACAGATAAAAAGGCATGACAATTTGTTTAGTACTGAAATTGTGTGGGGTAAACAGTGAATTGTAGAATGTTGTCAAGAGTTTCTATAAGGAGCATGAGAGATGGGTTGTCAGGAAATGAGAAACTAGGTAACTTTACAAGACTACTATGTCATAGAATATAGTGTCACATAGGTTGTATCATAGTACTTTCAAGAATGGAGTAACAAGTGATGGACAGGGGTGCAAGTTTGGTGAATAAAGATACAGGATAAAAAACACCAGGTGATGACAGTAAGATGAAAGATGACTTAACATGAGCTTAAACAGATAAAATGGAGGAAGTGGTGTTTCAGATCATTATCCACTGTCTGTCCAATATTGACTTCCACAATGTTAACGTTTATTTGTGAGCTTCCTCCCACTTTATTGAACTAAGGACAAATTTTTTCCCTCTGTTGCTACCCATGCACCAATTCACATACAGTACACAGTATCCTTCATCCCACCCTTCCCTTACCCCATTGTTTTCACCTCTCCACTACCAAGCTATAAAGTTTTTATGTTCTCTTTACATGACCATATTATTTTAGTCCAATTTAGCATGTCTTCTATATATAATTTTCATTTCTACCTCCACTTATTTATGCTTTTAATCTCTGGATTCTGTTCACCCTACATATTGTAACTTTCCCCAGCACTGATGCTTAGTTTAGACTCTTGGGAAACTTTCCCCAGTACTACTGATACTTGGTTTAGATACCTGGAAAAATTCCGGGGATACGGGATTTTTTCCAGGGATAAGAAATTTGTCTCAATATCCGGAAATCTCTCATCTCGAGAAGAGCTTTACACCATTTATTCCAGCTAATGGGGATGTCACTTTTACCATACCTATATAATATATATAGTATATGGCATAAACCTAACTACCATTTAGCTAATCTAATGTGTTGTAAAGTAGGGCTGTCACTAGTTGCACGTAAAATTTCGGAGCATATCGACCCCCAGCTGCACAGATAGTGTTTTAGCTACTGTACATACAATAAGGACAAATAAATGTATGACAGACAAATTTCATGCAATGTCACAAAAAAATTAATATTGTTATTCCTAAATTACTTACATAAAAGAGTAATGTGGACATGCGATTGCCCCATGGGCCCAGACCAAGCTCGGGGTCAATCTCATCTTTCTGTAATATGTAATGTCAGTCCAGTGTCAGGTGTCAAACATGTCAATTTAGTCCATAACCTTTACGTTACAGACGCGTCAAATAGTACACAATCAGTTATAGTTTCAACGATTCCTTTGGTGTTGGGAGCATATTGTCAAGGACCTGAATCTTTACTACCGGTAGGTATAAATATATACTGGAGCATCCAATTAACAAATACATCAGTATAGTATTGCCAAGATTCACTCATGGTTTGTTTCATACTGAAGAATAAAAATACATTCATCTGAGCCGTAAAACTCCTATTTTTGGGGGTTAAATACAGTGTATCACTATTAACCCCTTCATTTCTGGATGCCACTTTCAATATTTTATTTGGCTAACGCCAGATGATTTTATTCAGCACAGAGATATCCCTCGTATCAAAGGGATTAAAATAAAAGAAAGACCTAAATGACAAACCCAACCTCAAACCTCAGAATTTCAATTTACTTAATATTGTGTCCACACCGATGGAAGGAAACACTTGTTGTGACCATTCTTCTCTCCTCCATGTGTACAATATACACAATGCATCTGGCCCATAGTCCTTTGGAACATAGTAGATGGGCATTCTGGTCTCAAATGATGGTTCAAACATCATTCCTTACATACTTGTAATGCCATTCCTCTCATAATCCTTAACACAGAACTACATTATTTGGGGACCAAGACACCAACCATGGGATAGATGCCCATGCGGACAACCTCCACATTGTCCTCAAGATGAAGATGTTCCACCTCAATCTCAAAATGGGATCACAAAATTGGTTTAATAACTTCTAGATATTTAGAAAAAATTCATAAATAAAAAATAAACTCAAAGTTAGTAATTTTTCAGTGGGTAAATATGCAGTTTGACTTGTATCTTTCCCTCAACCACAATTATTTACAATGACATTATTTCTGCAACACCAAAACCCTGTGTGTACCCATGAAAATCTCAGATATAAAGTCATTCAAGTCACATAGTACACTTCTGTCAATCTGAAGTCCATAGTCTTGCAGGCTCCATGTAAGTTAAATGTCTGAATTGGAAAGCCCAGCAAAGCTTATTTTCAGTGTCTTGAAACTCCAAATTCTATTCAGCCCAAGAAATTAATAAGCTTACTTGTCAACTAGCAAAATGAAAATATACAGAAAGACAAATGCATCATAAAACATGGAAAAGTATGGAATAATCTATTCAGTAATAATAAATTCATTTTAACAGCTAAAATACTGCTTAAGCTATTTGTTTAGTATGAAGTACATCCCTAAAGTGACTGAGTTATGCAACATCAGCTGCACAAACTCATGCAAGGAGGCAAACTGTCACAACTTGCTTCAGTTACCCTAGAATAATTAGAACAGTATTGATACTTTTCCATTTTTTTCAACAGCAGCACCAGCAGCAAATTACAACTGATTAGACAAGACATTAAGCATTATGCACCAAAGCTTTCACATTGTCTTCAAAAATTTACTCACATAGAACAGGTAAGTTGCAATTCTGTTACCAGTGCCTAAAGATTTAAAGGCATCTTTCTCTTCTCGCTGGAAACAATAAACTCGGGATAACATTTCACTGATTAAATTCCAATAATTATTAGGTAAAGCACAGGTTTTTAAATGTCACAATAAAAATACAATAAACAAATATGTCTCATTACTACCAAAACAATACCATTAATTGGAAGAGTGAATCCCTAGAAATCCAATAAAGAAGTGTGTGGCAAACTTCTCTATATATATTTTATCACACAAAATAACAATTGATGCAGGCGTACAAATTTGCATTGAAAGCCAAAGTAAATTTTTATGATGAAAGTAAAGTACTGTGTATCTTCATTTTACACTTAAAAAGTTAATTCTTTTCATCTAGTTAACGTTGAGTAAGTTTTAGTAAGTACAGTACAAGGAAAGAGGAACTACTTTTGTAAGAAAAACTGTGTGATCAATTTCCTGACTAATGTTTCTATATCCTACATGTTTAAGGTGCAGGATACTTCAGGCACCCTACATGCTCTACACTATAGAACGCTTCAACTTATATTTAAAGACTCACTGTTTGCTATGTTCAATCTGATCTCCATATACAGTATATTAATCTTAAAGAAAGGATTAAGATGAATAAAATGTCAAGTTCAACTACAGAACACTGGCTTAAGGCCATTAGCCTACAGCACACAAATAAGCTGATAAAGATCTGGATATACCGCACAGTTAATCTAACCTACAAGATCCTCTCTCCAGTTCTGCATATATTATAGAAACCGTTTACTACACACAGAAAGGAATGAAGTCGACATTTATCAGGAATCATAATTAAACATTTCTTATAAACTTCTACACAGAAAAGCAATTATACAATAACATTGAAAACTTGTCCTTTACAGAACTACATACAAGGACACTTTTGTAAAAAATTAAAACCAGTTTGGTTGTAAAACAGGGAAATATAGAGCATGACAAATTTTCAAGTTGAGCAAAGAAACTACAGCATCTGTATCAGGAAAACCTTAATTGAAAGGACAACTCAAAGTTCATGCATGAATGGCATGTGTCAAGCAGTCTGCTCTTCTTTATAATAATGTATGACAATTTTACTCCTGACTGACAAGAAAAATTCTTACAATAGTACACAAAATATAGCATTCTGAAACAATAACTGGAGCCATAAACGTACCCGTGCAAAGTCAAAATGTGGCTCATAATGTCCTCCAATGCCATAATTAGCTACCTGCAGCTCCTCAGCAGTATCCATGTTTAACCCTGTAATGTAAAGATTGTTCTTAACACATAATTAATGAAATACATAATCTACCCAGAGGTAAACTTTCTAGTTATTCTTCTAGGGCAGTGACAAACAAATAAAACTTCTATAGATGAATTTGGTTTATCGTTCTTCATAGACTGTGTTAGATGGATGGGTGTGATGGAGATTATAGGACACTCCATGTGAGCCTTTAGGGAAATTATACGAGTTACTATAATCACCAATCACTTTGGTCAAGGATCACAGTCCAGGGTAATGGCAAACCATTGACAGTTAGCCATCCCTGGTCAAACAGCTACAAGTGGTCAAGGATCAGCCATAGCCAAGCACCACAACCCCAAATATCCGAAGAAATCTGATTGAAAGAAATGCACCTTGTCCTTCAGCCAGTGGATAGCTGTCACTAGTTAATACATGTCAGTAACTTTATATTGTATATAATATTAACAGTAATAAGTATGTACAGTATTATTAGATCATGCCTATCTTCTTTGTTGACAGTATTGTGTTCTATTACAGAAATATAACCTTACATCAGTTGTCAACACCACCAACCACAACAATGACTATACCAGAAGTGTACCATAAACAATGGTAGCTACAGTATATCCTTCACATCACAAAAATAAAATCTACATTCATGATGCCCTGTCACGAGGAAAATCTAAGCTTGCATCAAAATTTAATTTCTTATATGATTTTATTTATCTTAAATTTAAACATTACTCTTGCACACTGCTGCAAAAACACAAGATTGCATGAGACTGACATATCAATTTTCCCCTCTCATGTAAGGCTTTTCTTACTGTAAGATACTGTACACCATGAATGGAAAAAACAAAAAACAATTAAATTTTTTTACCTGTTATTGACCCAATGCGTTTATTAACTCCAGCTACAACTTCATGATCTTCGCCCTTCAACCAAGAAGATTTGCTGATGCGATAAGATGCAGTTTCAAGTTCACCCGTCTTATAATTCTGGACAGTTGCTCTTTTAAACTGCAAACAAAAACATTCATATAGGTTTTATATTAAGGATATAAATAATACTGGTAAAGCTGTAATTTCCAGGCAAAAGATATGGATAAATGCCTATCATAATAAAGGTTAGTGAAGCACAATACAATCAAGTGGTCTACAGTCTTTAATGGGTCCTAACCTAATCAAGCCTAACATTTAGCACTGGGACCTATTCCTAATGGCAAGATTAAACTGGGATCCATTGATTTGTATTTGGTGGGTTATCATTTGCTTTAGTACTATCATGAACACAAACTAAGCTCAGTACTGTACTGGGAGGTATTAACAGTGATATACCACCCAATCAATCAGGAGCATTATTTAGAAATGCTTACAGGCCCGAGGACAGTCCAAGTGGATCAGGGATGCTATCGGGAACCATTGGAACAATTCGTCGGGAGGGGGTACCTGCCCTATGACAGTCCCGATGATTATGTAAACTTTTTCACCATTCAAGTTATGAAATATTGAGACAACATATTATACACTAATAGGAAATGAGTTTGTTGGTGACAAAGTATTTTTTTCATATACAGTTCAAGGTACGTTCAAGGATTGTCAGTTATTTACAAGTGTGAAATAATCTCAGCTGATTATGAATACTGTATGCAGTCGTGCATCAACAAACACTAAAATACCAATACCTGTCTCGAATCTCGAGTGCCGCAGACAGTGTTTTAGAGAAGAAACGACAACATCTATTTATTGAGAACCTCTATAAGTAGATGTTGCCTGTATAATTCGAGATAATGTTACGGTTATGTACTTATCAGTTTTGCATGTTTATGTACACGATAACTGATGTTACTAGAGCAAGAATTGAGGAAGGTTTACACTTGTATTCCTTTACTTGGCTGGAGACAAACTGGTGAATATGGGTCACGATAAAAAAGTTAGTGGCTACTTAACCAGGAGTTCCTGGCTGGACAGACTGGAGGCTACATAGCCAGGATGTTATGTTAGGTTGGAAAAGTCATGTATCCTGATATACTGTATAAGAGCTCCTTAGGTTTACGTGAGTGTAGTCAGTGCCAGCTATTCTCATGTTTCACAACCACCAAGCTAACCCCATGCCCCAAGATACAAAGAAAGAACCTTTTATGTACCATGGGCTAACTCAACCTTACCTAACTATTACCCAAAACTTAAAAAAATAACTGGTAATATAATAGGAAACTAAAAAAAAAAAAAAAATAATAATAATAATAATAAACATATCATTTATATAAAACATATGTTATGGAAGGTACTGTAGGTATAGTTGTTTATAAGTTAAGTAAGGTTTGTTTTATTTGGAGTTCTACCCCCAAAAATGTAAGTCTGAAATTTAAACTTTGAACATCAGACTAATGTATTTCTACACATTTCGTCTATAGCATCCTTCAGTTAAATTAGTATTAAGGCTGCAACCATACAGGTTAATATTAGCATAAATTTCTATTACTGTACATGATGACTGTGAATACCATCTCATAAAGGTGGTCATCTTATCACACTACTACCTAATGAGGATATCACCTTTATAACACTAAATTAATTACCTTGAGTGGGACTGCATTTAATTACTGTAATATGGGTTCCGATTTAATGCACTTTATTCAACGTGGGGCCATAATTAACCCCCTTATATGTATTGTGGACAAAAAATAATTAATAACTAAATAAAAACAGCACAGACATACCATGGGTGTTGCTAATTCCTTAATAATCGCAATTTCTCTATCACTGAGGACATCGTAGTAAATAAATATGGTCGGGTCTATGTGGACAACTTCCGTCTTCACAGGACTAATGCGAAGTAAGTCACTGGGGCCATACTGTAAAAACAAAATAATGAGAAGGTAAGACGCACTTTTCTGACAGATGAGAGGAAAGTGGATTACAAAAATGGTGTGAAAAAGAGGAACAACATGAGTAAATTTCAATAGTGCCAGTACAGGGATGCATCGTTTTAGGAAATATTCTTCAAGTAACCAAGATTGGATGAAGCAAGAATTCCAACTTAAGTTTCCTACCTGCAACTTGAGTGGTGCAAAGGAAGAAGAAAAAGACAATACTCCAATCACTTGCTAATACCCTCAACTTGCAAATGATCATATAAGATAACAAATGATCAAAACACTAAGCCATAGTCTTTTTTCCAGATCATAATTCCCTCCTACTATGAGACTTTGTTGAGGCTTTTTGTCATTTGTTAATAATCAAATACATTATTGTGACAAAGTACAAGCTTCATCCACCCTCTGCTCCTATAAAGCTGAAAATATTCCCAATCAAGAATTCAGTAACTACACTTGCCCAACCTTCTTCCTTCACAAACAAATGATGCATTTTTATGACTGGTGTAATGGTAGTATCTGTTTAATGATATTTTGTGATATCCTGATGACATACTAGTCAATATATTACTGGTGGGGAAAAAAATACCCTCTCTGCACCATTTTGTTTACAAATATTAACTTTCTCCTACTGCATCCACTCAAAACTCATGTACTGCATTGACTTGAGTAACTTTACCTGAATTACCTACTTGTCATATCATCTGCATACAGCATTTAACTGTTTACTAGTCTCCATAAACTTAAGTCTACTGGCAAATAAATGAATGCCTATTACAAAAGTGCAAGAAATGAAACAAATTGATATTAAAGTGGAGGCACTAGACAGTGCAATCACTTCTATTACAAGGCCTTTGATACTCCGCTCACTCAAATGGGAGGAAAGTAGTTACTGTAAATTCAGTTAACCTCTAATAAAATCTTTTGTCATACCCCATACAAAAATATTATTGTGCCAAGGTTTTACTTGTACAAAGAATGAATCACTCAGCTCTAATGTAGCAAGTCAAGTTCTTTCTGTTGCTATGGGAGTGTCGTAGGGGTATGCTGATGTTACAACTGACATTTTTCAAGGTCTACCCTATGATTAAAGCACTATGGCTGCTACTGTCTGGATATTCTTTCATGTTATGTATCTTTTTCCTTCACGAAAAAAAACAAAAAAAAAACACTACAGTTCACTCAATAACATGCAACAGATCTTCCACTCAATCAAAGAAACCTTTTAGATGTTTGACTTACCTGATAAAAGCAGGAAAGCCTCTTGGCAAGTTGAGGGGAGATCTTGCCTTCACCACGACACAGTTGTTCATATGCTCGACGCTCTTTCTGCCATGCATCTGGGACATCCACGCTCTCTGACACGGTATAACCCTGTAATGCAATATTTTCTGATTATGCTACTTAATAATCAATCTACTAACTTGAATATCACATCAGACTGTAAAACCATCTGTGATTTATCAGTAATTGAGGCGACGCCAATCTGACGTCTTGAGATATCGGCAATTTTGAGGGTTTTGTAGCCCTGGGAGGAATCGGGGAAATATTTTTCAAGCCTAGCTCTCACAGGCTTTGAGTAAGCTATGGGTGTATGGCATATACCAATCGATGGAGAATTGAACATAGAAAATAAAAATCCTTATCTCAAATTTGCACATTTAACACCTACGCCCCTGCTTTAAGTAACTTCTCAATTCTATATTACTAATCTGACTGCATCATCCAGAATACAGTACACTAATCCTCAGGCAAATCACACCTCATTCTTCTATGGTGAATCACACACACACTCAGATGTTCTTGTCATTTTCTCCATTTACCCTAACCTCTTCAGTACACTTAAACCACTTAAGTTTACCAACTTTCAGGCAGAAGTAGGGTGGTGTTGTATAATCTCTTGCGTAGGTCACAGCACTATGCCCTCTACTGACGGTCAAGTTGTAGTCCAGTACCTAAATCATTCCTTCTATCAAAATCTTGACTGAATTTTGTAACACACTTGCAACCACCCACACACACCTTTTGCTTTGATCTCACCCCTAACTATGATTAATTTTTTTCATACTGGGTACATCACTACTGTTGAGGTGACATTAGTCTATTAACAAAAACTACTTCACAACTAAGCTTTCACGGAGTTACATTCTATATTAAACCACTCATACTACAGTGTATATACTGTACTGTAAACCTTGAACTTCAGTAATTTACACCACTGATCAGAGGCTGTTCATTTTTAATTGCAGGTATACAATTTTCTTCACAGTTCCAAAATAATATTCTTTTAGTGGTCTTAAAATCCAATTGCATGCTGACCAATTCACCAACCCAAGAAAAATAACTACAGTATACCTGAACTGTAGTGTTGTTTCCAAATAAATGATCTGGATGGAATCTAATACTTGTATGTACTGTATATTTCAAATACTGTACATCAGAATTTCTTGCTAAACTAACCTTCAGCCTTTTCTGGTTTGCATGATTAAGTAAATTTTGTGTCTGTCAGCAAATACAAGTAACATGTATTGTATATTAAGAGATATAATAGTTTGAAAAGTCATACATGATACCGGTATGCATAAAATACTTTATGGGGCCTCACTTACCTCTCTCTGTTTTTAAGTAGGGTACTGTCTGAAATTTATACCCCCTTTGTGGGGACTTCATATGTTTTTACATATGAAGTGGTGGAAAAATCTGCAATGTGTGGACCTTCGTTTGTATATGTTTCGAGATTGATTTAAGTTCATACACATCGTACACCAGACAGCAAGGAGCATGACACACTCTATTAGACCAGACAGTGTGGTGGGGTGGTCAGCTGGGAAGCTGCGAGTTAATATTAATCTTTGAAAGAAGTTAGTAATATCACGCAAAACAGCTTTGAATATATACGCACACAAAATATAGCTAATGAACCTAAAAAAATCTAAATGAAAATAATTATACGGTTAAAAAGAGAGAGAGAGAGTGAGACAGACATACAGTACAGGTACTGTATTAAAGTATGTATTTACAATGTCACAAAATTACCATCCCCACACAATTAAAATATAGCCAATCAACATAGAAATCAAAACAGAAATAATGAAAATAAACAATACCTTTTCAATAGCATCAACACCCAGGCTATCCCCATCGTCACCTAGTTTCTTCACTTGCTGAGCTTGAAGAGCTTCCTCGTAATATATTTTATTTCCTTGTGCTCTCTGGTGGTTTGGTCTTTCTGCTAAAAGCTCATTTGTTAGCTTCAGTGCCTGTCTAACATTTCCCTGCATGTATGTTGAGAAAGCTAGGTACTCTAAGATATCTGCATGGTCCACTGTCTTGTTACTTTCCATCTCCTGTCGTTTCAATGCTTCGTTCATCCACAACATTGTATGATAGTGGTCCCCTGTGTTGTAGCTTTGGCGGCCCAGTTCAAAACAGTCAGCAGCTGTGATTGTGGTGAAAAATATAAATCTTTCATATAAAGGTAATCAGTCTCAAAATACATATACAGTCATTTCTGCTATAACGTGATAGTTGCGTTCTTTGAAACCTCGCGCTGTAGAAATTTGTGCAATAAAAATAACAGGGCTTATGGAGAAAATAAGGTTAGGTGCATATTACTTTGGCCGTGATCTCACAGATTTGCCAGCACTCAAGCTTGTTCCAGCAATAGTTATAGCCTTTCTTTTGCGTTCACCACCGGCAATTCGATCACCAGAACGCTTCCTGGAAACATTCTTCTTACCTTGTCTTTCCATATTCATGGCTAATATAAAATAATTGGAGAAAACAGCAAAAATCACAGACACTTCACAGAGCAATAGACAGAAACCGCGCTAATCAACTGATCACGTAATGTCAACAGAGAGCGCTGGTGTAAACCGTTAATAGTCTGCACTGAGAAACATTCTTTTTGTACAGTATTTATGGGTAACAACTAAATTTCACAAAATAGAACAAAATTTACAGAGTACCTCTCAAAAAACACACGAATCAATCGAACATGTGATGTCAAACATGAACTGTAAATATTGCATAACCCAGGGCCACGCTACACTTAAAACGTTGAGGATGAAATCGTGTTATAGCCAAAATTCGTATGCAAAAGTTTGCGTTTTACAAACAGTGTTCCCCTATTCATCAATCGCATTACAACCAATTCGCGTTGACAAAACAGGCGTTGTAGCAGAAATGACTGTACTGTATATCATATAGCTCAAATTACTTAGCAGTTACAAGTTTACTAGAAAACATATGTTCATACAAAGACTTTTAGACCTGCAATTTATTTTTAAACTACAATAGGGTAACTGTTTAAATTACATGGTAGTTAAAACCATAATACTGAGTAACAGTAAGTTCCTAGCATACAACTAACAGTGAGCTCAATCTTGCAACTGCAATGATATATTCTGCATGAATCACCAGTGTCCACATAGCACACATTCTATGGACAGTTTCACAGAGAGAACAACGATTCTCCTCACCTGTTAATTCTCTGTAAGCCTGTTTCTTGCCATTGATGTTTCCTCGAGCCAGCTGGGCTGTGTCTAGGTTGTAGGTGTCCTGGAGTCTCATAAGGGCTGTAGCCACACCAGTCAAGTCCTCTTCATCTGGCCACCTCAGGAAATCAGCCATACTCGTCAAATTGTTGAGCATGGCTTTAGAAGAAGGAAATTGTTTTTTACTTCTATGTAAAGAATAAGAAAAATCCAAATGAACAAAATGAATCCTTTACCTGGACAGTAATTTATGAGTCAAATGACTGACATCCTAAGATTTACAAAGAAAACCTGTCAGTACAGTATTGTAGCAGCTCATGTGATTTATTTAAAAAGATTAAGTTATCACCTGTACATCAAATGAGATCAATATTAGAGTTCATTCCTTTTACCTTTGCCTGTACTGTCATCTGACATAATGGTCTGTAGGTCTGCCCAGTCCACTGTGAGTTGCTTCACCAACAGGTAGGCATTAATGGGGTTACCCAAGAAGTTCTCAGGTGAACGAGAAGCCTCATCATGTATACGCTCCATTTCAAACACATCTCTGTTGATTAAGAATGTTTAGGCTGGGTGCATTGATTCCTTCACAGCTAAAAATTATCCAAATTACACTAATACAGAACTTCACATTATTTTTCTTTTATCTATATAAACATACACTGAATCTAATATTTTTGGTGAAAAAATTTCTGACTCATCGCATCCTCGTTAATTTTCTAACAACCTTAATTAATAACTGAAATAATATGAAGTTTAACTGTATAATCATTTGCATCCAATTGTAACACAAAAGCAATTATCAACCTTGTTCAGAATCCAGTGATGCATAATTTAAATTTTTTGCATTCCTGGATAATTTTGACTTTACATTATGAGGCAATACCTCCACAAATGTTACAAACATTAACTATTACCTTTTAAGCTTCTCCAGCTTCTCTTCTTGAGCTGTGATATAACCCTCAACAGCTCTAATCATCTCCCCTTCTGTGGCAAGGAGATGACTCATGTCTGACATGGATGTGAAAACTTCACCATGGCTGGGATGTACAAGTACTGCCACACACACATACACCGCCCACCACATTTCTGAAACAAAAATCATTCTGATAAATATTCATCACACAATATAAAATCAAATACAGTACCACAGCCCTAAAGGACCTACTGAAATAGGTATGGGATGACTTTATTTGCTAACCTTGGTCGAACTGCCTTACTGTTTACTATTGTTTGTATACCCGCATGGGCCCAGATTCACTAACACTACCGAGATACGAAGTTCATAACTGCCGGGAGATCTGAGGTCCAGAAGAACTCTGACATCAGTTCATAAATGCCGACAGGTGGCGGTGGCGAGTTTCCTCTCAGCCAATTACTGCGACTGATACTAACCGAGTAGGAAACGTAAACCGATCAGGTCACAACAAAATTAGACCCCATAAGGTGCACTTGTGATCACTCTTGACACTTATAGAAGAAAATAGGGTAAATTTGGATGAAGCACTCGGCACCAATCTTTATTTCGGCAATGTGTTGTGCCAGTTTCTCTTTTAGTTGGGAATAAATTTTCTTCTATGGCATTTCAGGCATAAATGTTTATTTTTCAAGCACAGTATTTTAAAAAATAACACCTCCCCATACCAAAACACACAGTTAATTTGCAAAATTACCAACATGCATGATGGTAATTTTGCAAAATAACGGATTTAAAAAAAAGAGAGTAAAATATGTGTGCGTGTGCTGCATTGTTTTGGTCATAGGTTAATCATTGTCCTTCAGTATTACCCAATCATTAATTGCATCTATATCTGTGTTTTGGTATGGGTTGTACAGTAGAGAAAACGGCCTTATTTCCGCCTTGCAGCTTACGAGACCTCCAAAGCCACCGTAAGTTACGAAGGAAAGTCTGCCATTTTAAATTGAGTTGTGGACTTTGTGAATCTTTAGTGAATCACCACCACATGACTTTATGAACGTTTAAACATTTGGGAGGTTTGTAACCCATTAGTGAATATGGGCCCTGTACTGTATGTTAAAAAAATAAAAATAAATAAATAAATCATTTGACGTACATTTTGGGCTGGCTGTACGACACTACTGTTGTAGAAAGACCCATCCAATATTTCTAGAATTTTTTTGATGGAATTTTCACTATAGTAGACAAGTTTGTTTTAAAGAAATTGTTAACTTTAAAGACGAGTTGATTTTTCAAGTTTCCGAGAATGAGCATAAAAGAACACGACTTCTTTGAGAGTGAACAATGTCAAGGAGTTCTTATGGTTTACCCAACAGAAAATTTACATCAAACTAACCTAAGATCATTAGCATAACCTAACCAACGATCGCTGTAGCAGACATCTAATATTTGTAAATCTAACCTATACTGTTGGTTCCTGTCAGGTGTATTCTTTGTAAACCAACCATGTCATTAAATATGGTAACTTGGGTAGGTCATCGACAGTCTCCACAAACATGGCAAAACTAGCGATGTCGAGAAACACCGTGGAAATAATTCCTCATCCACGAACTTCACAAATGGCAAAATAATATAAAACTGTAAAACAAAACCAGTTCATCTATAATAATCAATCCATACTGCATACATTATAACCTACAGTATAATCAAGTATGGTTTCCAGTATTTTCTCAAATTTGGGAAGAAATCATATATTAATGTTTTACTATAGCCATTTCCTACACCTGCATGTGTTTGTGTGTGACTAATCAAGACAGCTCTCCAGGCTACACGATCTCTTGCAACATATTTAACCAGGTGCTAATCACCAAGATGCAGTAATTTCTCATCTCCAGGTCATTCTTGGATTATTGCCCCCCTCCCCCCAGCTGCTACTCTCCTCTCCACACTCAAACCCATTCTTCTCTTGTCCCCTAATAGCTCTCTGTTTTCTCCACATGCCCAAACTATCTCAGCCAACTGCATCTCTACACAAAATCTCCCCCTTACTCTTGATACCCAGATCTCTTGAAATGTACAAGGTTCCCTTTTTCTTAAGCCACATTACACATCCACCTCTCTGATCTTATTTCATTAACTGATCATGGGTCATCTTAGAAGATACAGGCACTTAAAGCACAAATCTAAACTTCAAGGTTTAGCACATCCTATGAATTTAATATTTTATGCTCATGTTCATCCTAATAGTACACAGAAAATAACTCAGGTGAGAAAGCATAAAAAAAATTAACTCGAGCTGCTCTTCATCTTGGTTTGGTCTTGTTATCTGTTAACAAGAAAAACTTTGCCTAAACTCCTAGCCAATCAACTTGTTATTAATAATTACATCTAAACCCTTATTCTCTCACTCACATTCATTTCTAATTGTATCCATTGTACCCTACAGTATTTACATTCATTGCATAATACATTCGTGTGCATCCTGTCAAAACTTGAGAGTAGTTAAGGAGCAGCAAATTTTACATTGACCATAAGCTGATACCAAATCAGTCTTGACCTACAAACACTTAATATAATTCCCCAGATGTAAAATTCACAGCAACACCAACGATTAAGCAATAGGTGAGTAGCTTCACCAAGATCATCTTCAGACAAGTAAGATTATAAACTCACGTGTCGCATTCAATCTTAAAACTTACCCAGTATGTCATGGTTTTATGTAATTTACTAAAACACACTGCTATGCCCCTAAAGGTCTGCCGAGATTCCAATAAAGATAAATATATATATTCTGGATATGTGGTAATGTTAATGACAATCACTTACAGAAAAAAATTAATGTGGATAAGCTCAAGACAAAACACAAGTAGTGTTCAGAGTAATGCTACAGTGAATTAAAACATAACTTCCCTTCTTCTTAACTAACAATAAATATGTCATGCCTTCATAAGTAGTTTGAGCAACTATCAAATACAGATTAATACAATACAATACAGTAAGAGAGTACACCTACTACACACCACCACCACAAGTCTGTTCAAGCACGGTCTCCAATGTTTACGTTTGCGAGATGCCAGTTACCTTCATAAATCATAATTTACTTTAAAATCATTTACTGCTTTGAGTCGGTATAATCACAAATTCCAAATAATTTAAATCGTATTACGACACTTTATATTATCACACACCAAAAAAATATCTTCGCCTCCATAATAAATATTGTATGATAATTGGCAACTCGACTGTAAAAGAAGCTCACAATTGGTGTTGCCACATTTTTGTTTTGATGTATATTTTTCCTTATTTGTATGTAAACATTTCTTTGATTTAAATATGGTTATTTATTATGCATTTACATATTTGAGAAACACAAGAGTATACATATATGAAACTGATTATGTGCGCTTCTGAGTATGAAGGCGATTTGTGTGAGTGGTTTGAATCTTATAAATTTTCGACTTAAAATACCATAACCATCAACACGTAGCAGATTTAGTGATGGGAAAAGAGGCAGTACAGGTATTAGTACTAACAAATGATAGCAGCACGAGTAACCGGCCGCTACAGGGATGCTAGCAGCAAATTATAATGGTTATAGCAACAACGGAAGTAGTTACAGCAAGTTCAGCAGGGAAGGCAATAGTAGCAATGATTGTAACAGCAGTTATTAATAGTCTAAGTAGCAGTAGTTGTAGTAAGGATAGCAGGAACATAATTAATAGTTTTTGTTATGGCAGCAGTAATAACAAAAGCAACAATAACACAGGTAACAGCAACAATAACACAGGAAACAATAACAACACAGGTAACAGCAGCAGCAATAAGTTAACAGCAGGAAAGGTAGACAAATAAAAGTACTATAGGAAGTAGTTATAACAGTAATAGTTGCTGTATAAGTAGTAATGGTGGCTGTAGTAGTATAGTACAGGTAGGAAGCGTTGATTGGTCATGTCCACTGCCGTCACAGGTTGGGTTGGTGCACACGAACTGGCTATTACTCCTAGCCCCCTAGACGTTCGCCATGACTCGTCTCAATTTAGGCCGTGAAGTCTCCCTCAGAAAACCCTTCACCACAACTACTGATGACGGTGATGAAATGATAGTACACACGCCATCCAAACGTTGATCACGTAACGTTTGATCGTTATTGCAATCCAAAGATGACAGTTGAAGAGAAAGGTTGATCACGCACCATTTTTCCCAGTGAATTTATGCACATCACAAGTTGGGGTGTGGTGAATTGACGAAAACCATCAGCTATTATATATGCAGTATATCGCTCAGTGGTTAGTTCCTGCTAAAATTTCAATTCATTTATTTTCGTTTTGCTAATTACGTTGGGTTAAATCTGTCGGATACGGGATTGTTAACTTTGCCTCCATTTTTTTAGTTTTATTGAATCTTATGTCTATATTTATCATACAGATTAATTAAAACTTAAACAAACTGAGGTAAAGCTTTCCTTAACATTCATCCCAATGATCAGTACAGACTAAAGCTTGTGCAGAGATCGTGACTGCTCTTGGAAACAACCAATCCCTTACCTTCACTCTAACTATTGAATTCTTCGTCGTAAAGTGCCAGGAAATTCTTACCTAGAGATGGATGAACACCTGATCAACCAAATAATGAGGAGCATAACGAGGGTTGACTACCGGCGACGCAAGAATTATCGCACGGCCATTATAACTCTGTTACCCACACGCCGCGCCCCAACAAGCCGTAAGTGAGCGTGAGAACTGGTTGCGAGGCTTAGAAGCACAACGTGAATTTGCACAGCCAAAAATTTCCTCCCAACCCTTGTTTACTACACCGAGGATTCAAAGCACACTGTATCGAACCTCAATCTTTTAACGTGCTTCGGTTCTAACGTAGACGGTCACACACGCCTCATCTATGAAGAATAATCTGAGATATCCACCACCAGTCATTAAAATAAGGCCATAGTGTAAAACTTACACATAATACGTTTACTGACGAAATTATCCTTTATTAATTCTGTTTATATCATCCAACTTGTCGGTGGAGTTATGAAATCGATGCCCCAACATGTTATAAGTCATTTATTTGTTAAGAACATTAGGATCACCCGAAGATAAGACACCCAGCTTATTTCACCTGATGATTAAACACCCACACGTTAAACTAACCTAATCCTCCTAGGTGGTAT